AAGTACATCTAAGTAAAATTATAATAGTAAAAAGTATAATTTATCTAATCGAAACCATAGTAATTAAAATACATTGAAGCAAAACTATAATGGTAAAAAGTATAATTTTATTATTTAATTATTGGGAGTACATTAATATCAAGGGGATTTTTTTTTAAGATCCCTGGTATTAAGATTTTATAGCATAAAGGACACCCAATATTGTCATAATGTCTAAGGTCCTTCAATATCGATCCAGAGAAAATTCGACCCAAGAGAAATTCTCTCCAGAGAAATTCTGGAAATTTCTCTGGACCTCCCAGAGATTTTCTCTCCAAAGAAATTCTGGGAATTTATTTGCACTTCCCAGAGAATTTCTCTAAACCTCCCATAGATTTTCTCTCTAGAGAATTTCTCTGTGTTTTTTACCAATTTTCTCTAGTTTGCTCATAATTTTCTCTGTGTTTTTTATCAAACCAGACTGTAAGCCATTTAAACAACAACAAACCAGAAAAAATTGAACAACCACCATTTTGACTAATTTTCTCTGAGTACCAAAGAAATCCAAAGAAAATTGTGTAGAGAAAATTTGTGTAGCTTTGTGTGGCTCTATCCAGAGAAAATTGTGTTAGAGACAATTTGTGTGGCTTTGTGTGGCTCTATCTAGAGAAAATTGTATAGAGAAAATTTATGTGGCTTTATGTGGCTCTATCCAAAGAAAATTGTGTTAGAGAAAATTTGTGTAACTTTGTGTGGCTCTATCCAGAGAAAATTATGTTAAAGAAAATTTGTGTGGCTTTGTGTGACTCTATCCAGAGAAAATTGCGTGGCTTTATGTGGGTTTATCCAAAGAAAATTGTGTAGAAAAAAATTGTGTGGCTTTGTGTGGCTCTATCCAGAGAAAATTGTGTAGAGAATTTGTGTGGCTCTATGCAGAGAAAATTGCGTAGAGAAAAGTTGTGCGGCTTTGTGTGGCTTTATCCAGAGAAAATTGTGTAGAGAAAATTTGTATGGCTTTGTGTGGCTTTATCCAGAGAAAATTGTGTAGAGAAAATTTGTGGATAGAGTCAGAGAAAATTTTTCTAAGTTCACAAATTTCTCTAGCTCTATTCATAAAGAATTTCTCTAACTTTGTGTAATATGTAAGCCAATAATGCAATCTTTACTAACAAACCCACAAAATAATACTGAAGCACTCAACAATCACAAATTTCAAATAAAGTTTTCTCCACTTAAATTCTAACAAGAAATTCTCCATGAATAGAATAGTTTGTCTCTACTCCGAATTCCAAGACTTACCAAATATGTGTGTGCTACAGCTATCATTTCTTTTGCAAAATGTAAACATCGGCCTCTTCATAGGCAAATTCACGGTGCAAATGCTCGTGTGGAACCTTCTGGATGTTGAGAAAAAGATGTCCGTTCAATTCAGAGAATTTCTCTGGTCTAAACCAGAGAATTCTCTGGATTTAGACCAAAGAATTCTCTGGATTGAAACTAGAGATATTCTCTTTATTTGCAGCAGAGTTGTGTTTTTATGAATAGTCCTTGGTGATCGTACATTGATCCAAGAAACCCTAGCCTTGGATGTGTCTTCACAATCTTAAATCACATCTCATAATCGAGTTCGTGGGAGTGAGATTTCAATTCGCAATGACTTTGGCCAGCCAACATCAAGTTCATTGAAGCCTAGCTAGTTATGATCTAAGTTCACAATCAAGCTCATCCAATCTAATAAGAATTTCAAAAATAAACAAGGGTGGTGCTTGGGTCAGAAGAAAAAAAAAATACACATTTCTCAGATTTCTTAGCACTACACGAAAAATTGAATTACGGATATCAATTGAAGACTCAATAAAACAACAAGTACAAAGAATAAAACATTTTTAGATCAGAAAATTCAAATTTTCAATGGATCTACGAATATACAGAAAACCATATAGTAAAAAATTCAGATAGATACAGATCTAAGCAATCACAAACATATACATATATATAGATATAGATATAGATATAGATATAGATATAGATAGATAGATAGATAGAGCGAAAAAACACTTACACCTCTCCATGGCGAAAGAGGTCTGGGCTCGAAAACTTTGCAAACCTTAGAAAATGGATGGAGGAGGAGTTTGTGTATGTATATATAGTGGTCGTTCCAAAGCTGGAGGCCTTTGTCAAATTATCCGATGAGGAAGAAAACCAAATTTTAAAATTTTGAATTCGAAGATCAGTCTCTGCGTTCTTTTCTCCAAGAAGATCAAATATGGAGGGAGATGTATGGGAATGTGTGATGGACCTTAGACATCACAAAATAATATTGTGGATCTCTCCCATTACTAAAAATAAGAGAGAGACTTTAGACTAATTTTCCCTAATATCTATATAGGGTAGTTTTGACCCTTCATTATATGCAGGGTTGTGGGATAGATTTCCAATAGCAAGGACAGTGCAACAAATGATGGAAACCATGGAGAGGATGATGGAAGACCCTTTTGTCTACACCAGCGAGTGGCCGTCGTCGACATTAACCGAGACCGGCGGGTACAACAGGGGAAGGACTCCATGGGAGATAAAGGAAGGAGAGGGAGAGTACAAGATGAGATTCAACATGCCCGGTATGACCAAAGATGATGTGAAGGTCTATGTTGAAGAGAAAATGTTGGTTGTCAAGGCTGAGAAAATGACCAAGGACAGAAATGGCCAAGAAAGTGAGGTAGAAAATGAAGAGTGGTCTGCAAAGAGCCAAGGTAGGTATAGTAGTAGAGTTGCTTTGCTTGAGAATGTTGAGTTTGAGAAGATTAAAGCTGAGGTTAAAGATGGGGTTTTGTATATAACTATACCTAAAGCTAGTGGCACTTCCAAGGTTTTGGACATTAATGTTCAATGAGTAGTTGAATGTATAATCAATTATTAGGGTTAATTTAGTGGTTAGATTTCCATGTTAGTGAGTTTAATTTTTTCTCTCCTCCAATGTAGTGAAAAAGAGAGTAGTCTTTTCAATTTAGTATTTTGTTCTCTTTAAATATTTTGTGTTGGTTTCATTTTTATTTTGTTTTTCTAATTTTGTTTCTCATTGATTGTTTAGGATGTTCATGCCTTATTTTATAATGAGTCCATGAAATTAGCATTTTCAATGTATGAATGTGTGCAAACTTTTATATATATATATAAATTTTGTGCAACAATTTTATATTATGCCTCATGGAATGTTCTGTTTTTGTTGTTATTACTTATATTTTTACTCAAGTTGAGTAGAAGTTTTAGTAGAAAGTTTCATATTCAATGAATAAACTTAAATGTGAGTAAGACTGATGAGTGTTGTAGTTTTGAGTGGAAGCTATAAATTAGAGTAAAGCATGATAGTGGAAAGATTGGATAAAAGCGTTCAATTTTTTAGTTTGGGTTGAATAAAAATTTAAGTAATGAGTGAAGAAATTTAAGAGATTGTAAACACCAAAGTCTTCAAAAATGTTTTTAAAATTTTTAATTTTTATTTTTAAATTTTTTTAAATATTTTAATTCACGTAAGTTTAATACATTTAAAATTAAAAAATATATACAAAAATCTTTAAATATAGCAAAATATAAAAATGTATTAAATTTTTATATTTTTTGTATTTGATAAATTTTTTTAGTTTTTTTTTTATAAATATTATAATTTTTAAATGTATTTATGTTAGGTAAAATTGCTTAAAATATTAATAAATTTTAAAAACAAAAAAATATATGAAAAATAAAAAAATTTAAATTTTTAAAAAGTGAATTTAGAAAACTCAATCCAAAGAAGCTTATTGTAATTCTGACAAAAATCGGCATGCCTGTTGCCAATGTTGTGACTTTGTTGACATTCCAACCTGGATCATTCACGACTAAACAAAGAACAAATCTTGCAACACTATGTAAGGATTGAAAGTCTAAAAAGAATATTAAAAATAGATCCAATTAAAAAATAGAGAAGTTTATTTTAAAAAAGAGAGTTGCGCTATATTTATAAGTAAATAATCCTTTCAAAAATTAATCCAAGTTTTTCTCAGATCAGAAATTAATTCAAGTTAAAATTAATTTTTTTTGCAATCCAACTAAAAAACCATGGAACACCAAAAATAAAATTTTAAATAGAATGATATGAATCTCTTGTGAAAAACTCACACTTAAAAACTGACTTGTAAGGGGAGAATGTTTAAGAGACTTAGCTCTCGTTTGGAAAGTATATATTTTAGTTTAAGTTAAAAAGTTATTAAAAAATTAATAAATTATACAAAAAAGTTAAATATTCTTTTTTTCTAAAATCAAAAAATATCACAAATATATTAATTTTTTTATCTCATATTTTAGTCAAAAAAATCAAAAATTATTAAAATAACATATTCATAAACGAGGTCTTATATGCATGAGTGATTGTTCAGTAGTCCGGAAGTACGGTTACATGATGTTTCATGGTAGTAAAATAGGTAAAAAAGGTGGAATATTGATTATTTGTATTATGATAGTATAATTGGTAGAAAATATGGAATATTGATTATTTGTATTGGGTAATTAAGGAACATAAAGAAGTGTAATAAATGATGATTGATAAAAAAGTTATAGTTACGTGATACTTTAGGACTATTTTATAATTTTCCTGTATGGACATTGGCAAAGCCTATGTCAACCAATTTGAGATTGTAACAGAAATTAAAAATCCCATCCAAGAAGAATTATTTGGCTGCTTTGCATTCTAAATTCAAAATCTCCGAACAAAAATTTAAGAATTTTAAAATCAAGTTGAAAATGATCAAATAAATTCTCACAAATACTAATCTAAAGAAAATACATCAAAATCAAATTAATTAAGAGTAATTAATAAACAATCTAAAGAAAATACATCAAAGTCAAATTAATTTAAGAGTAATTAATAAACAAAAAAATCAATAAGTATGCAATGTAAAAAAATGTTTTCACCAACTCCTCCCCCAATTTTTGAACTATTAATCAATTGACCTATTTTTTAAAACAAAGCCATCGTGAATGTGAAGGCAAGGTAAGGAGAGAATAAGGCCAGGTTTGAACAAGGAAAAGAACAAGAAAAGGAAAGAATAAGGGAGGGAGAGAAGAAGGCAGGGTTTGAACATACCTGTTAGGAGCCTATAATCTAAATATGGAATATATTAACAAAGTGAATGAACTGCATTCTCGGAGATTCCAAGATTTAGAAGAGCAAAGAAGACCCTATACGAGAATCAAAAAAAAAGAAAATCCTATACGAAGAAGATACAGAGAGAAAGAAAGAGGATTCAGGGAATCATAGGGTAGGTTTCTTTGAGTTTCTTTGAGTTTCTCTCTCTTCACTGCAAAGACAGAAATGGGTGAATCGCCAACTTGTCTTGCTCGATCCTTCTCTCAACCTGCTGGCACTACTTCCACTGAACCCGAAGAGGTTTGTCCAAAAAACACAATCTTCTTCATTTTCACAGAAAACCCTAGTGGGTGTTGATTTTTCTGACATGGGATTGCTATTTCTTTGTCGTTTTTTTAATATTCTTTTGACAATACTTGATTTGTTACTGTTCTCAGTATTTGGTTTTTCATTTGAGTTCTTGATTTGTCCCTTTTGCTAGTTATAGTTTCTTCTTCTTCTTCTGATTCTTGTGCTCCTTTCTTTACTAATAACTGCAATCATCAACCAATTGCATGGGAATTTCATGTAATGCTTAGTCAATGTTGTTACAGCAAATTACACCCGTAGTCTGGTAGTTTGTTTCTTGTGTCAATTTCGTTCTTATAGATAGTTCTAATTTGATCAATTCTACCCTTGAATTATTCACATTTTGTGTCAGTTTAGTGTAATTGATAATGCCCATTTAGAAATTGAACTGAAATCAAAGGGCAAAATAGTCTATTTCAAAGTGATTGATGGATTAAAATGATTAATTCCCTTTTTAAATGTACCATTTTCTCTTTGATTTTTGTCTAATTTCTTAGCAGATGTTTATCAATTGAACTAAATTTACACAATGTGAAAGGTTAAGAGGCAAAATTAATACAATGGGAACTACAATGACTAAATTGACTAAAGAGTCAAATTATAGACAACTGGTGTAATTTGGCCATGTTTTATTAGAATCACAAAATAATAGGGTACCTTGTTAAAATGTTTCTCATCACATGTGTTCTTGAAGTAGATTATATTTGGAGTTGGGTATGTATGTCTTTGCAATTCTATTTAAAATATATTAGTGGATACAAGTGTCAGCTTTGATGATTTTACTAAGAAACACTTGAAAGAATCTCATTACAGGGAGATCCTTATTGTGCCCTAACAACATCGATCTCATTTCGGAGGTTCATGTTGGAATCATTGGCGTGTGAAAAATGGTCATGTTTCTCTAACAATCAGTACTTGGAAGAAGCTAAGAAATCTTCTAAGCCAGGTTTAGTTGCCGAGAGGAAAGCTTATTTCGAAGCCCTTTACAAGAGAAATGGTGCTAAGAAACCTGCAGCATTGCTTGAGGAGCAAAATGCAGCATGTAATGAACCAAATGTTATGGAAGAGACATCCAGAGACAGCTCAAATCCTCCACGAATTCCAACTAGGGTGCTTACTTTACTTCCTTGCCTTCACCTCATTCACCTTGTTTGCTGCTTTGTGCATGTGCAATAGCGTGCTAGTGCACACTGTAACACATAGCTGAGATAACGTTTTTGGTTTTTGGTTTTTGGTAAACTGCAGGCATCAGCGAATGGGTTATCAGTGCATTCTTCAACAGCTCCTCAAGAAGAAAGAAGAAGGTTGTTTGTTTGCTTAACCCTTTAAAATTGTGCCATTTTTCTACGTGTATGTATATTCGTCTTCTTTCACTAAAATGTTTAATTTCATGGTTTACATAAGTAAACCAGTGGATGATTGCTCAGTTTCTAGAAGGAGGATAGCAGTGTGAGAATATAGAATATATCATTGTGTGTTTTGTACAAATTAGAGTCCTATTAGAGGCATGATTGTGTTAGAGTCCTGTTAGAAACATAATTATAATTGTATTTTTATTTTCTTTTTTGGTTTAAGATTTAGGGCTAGATAATCTAAGCTCTGATTATAATCTTTGATACAATTGTATATATAGAAAAGCTTTCAGGAATTTTACGTGGTATCAGAGCCACCACCAGAACCCTAGAAATTGTCTTCCTCTTTAGTCTCTGTGTGAGTTGTGGGTCATCTTCTCCCTTGATCAAATCTGGTTCTCAAATCTTCTCCTTTGATCAATCGAAGTTCCCTTGACCTTGGCGAGAACCAGATCACCGAGACGCAACTCACTCTTCCCCTTCACTCCTCTCGCTCCTCTCGTTCCACGTTTACGCGTCGAAGCCATTGACGCTACAAAACACACAATGACAGCCTTACCTTTTCGTAAAAGTATTTCTATATCTGATACACCGTTTTCTTTAGTTCATACTGATATTTGGGGCCCTTCTCCTGTTCTCACCAAAGGAGGTTCTGCATACTATGTGTCATTTGTTGATGATTGCATCCGTTACACTTGGGTTTATCTTATGACTCATACGTCCGATTTCTATTAGATAGACCATACCTTTCAGTCTATGATTACTACTCAGTTTGGGTCTACAATTAAAGTGTAACGGTCTGACTTGGGTGGGGAATATTTTAAAAATGAGTTTTGTGAGTATTTGGCCAATTTGGGTACCATTCACCAAACTTCCTGTACAGATACACCTGCCCAAAATGGTCGAGCCGAGCGTAAACACCGTCATCTTCTTGAGACCGCTCAGTCTCTTCTTCTCTCTACCTCAGTTCCGCCTCCATTCTGGGGGGAGGCAGTTCTTACTGCTGCTTTTCTTCTCAACCGCATGCCTACTCCCCTTCTTTCTGGTCGGTCTCCTTATGAGGCTTTGTTCTCCCAAATTCCTAACTACGCCCTCCTTCGTGTGTTTGGGTCTGCCTGTTTTGTTCTTCTTCCCCACAAAGATAGGACCAAACTTAGTGCCCGGTCTGTCCTCTGTGTCTTTTTGGGTTATAGTCCTACTCAGAAAGGTTATCGGTGTTACGACCCTGTTTCCCATCATCTTTATATCTCCCGTCATGTTGCCTTTCTTGAACGTCTATCTCACTTCCAGCTTCCCCATCTCACTACTCCAGTTTCCAGAGAGGATTTGGTTCACATTGACCCATTTCCTTCTGAGGTCTCGTCTGATGAGTACATCTCCACTGTTCTCCCTGAGCTTGTTCCATCTTCTCCTCATATACCTCTAGCTCAAGGTTCTAAAAAGCGGTTGCAGTCGCCGTAACGGTGGCGGTGGCAGTGGCGGGGTTGCAGTTGCGGGGTGTAAAGGCCGTAGCGTAACGGTTGCGGTAACCGAAACCATGAATTTTTTTATTTTTCGCATAATTTAAAAAAAACTTACCGATACGCATATTTTTTTTTCATGATCATACTTATTGGGTTTAAAATAAATATTGATCAATTTTTGGAAATTTTTAAATATGATCTAATATATTTCATATTTTTAAATCATTGTAAACTGAGTTTTTTACATTTTATTTTAATAATTAATGATTTTATATTATACAAAAAATCAATTACTAATTATTATATATAAGATAAACAATGACAAAAGTAAGAGAATAAATAAGAGCCTAAATATATATATATATATATACACATATTTTAACCAAGCCAAATAGATAATGACTACACTTATTATTATTATTATTATTATTATTATTATTATTATTATTATTATTATTATTATTATTATTATTATTTTCAAACAATATATAGATAGACACACACAAACAAAATGGTTGAGTGATAGCAGCTGAATAAAATAGCATAATTCTTGCAGCTTCAACAAATTAATGACATGTTCTTTATCTTCCCTCTTCTCTCTCTATCTTTTGCTCCTCCATTTTTTCTGTTTATCTTCTCTCTTCTCTTTATCCCTCCTCCCCCATTTTCAGCTTTTTTTTTTGTGTTTTTTTCGAAAGAAGCAGTTCGAAACCGTTACATAACGGTGCATAACAAGCTATTACGGCACTGTTATGACCGCTACGGCAACCGCTACGGCCGATACACCTGTGAATCTCAATCACACTGCAAAAGCGGCCGTAACGGGTGGTGGTAACTATCACAACCGTTACGTAACGGCGTTACGTAATGGTTGCGGCCACTACTAAAAACCTTGCTCTAGCTGCTTCTCCTCCTTCGACTTTTTCTCCTCCTCCGTTGTTAGTTTATTCTCGTCGCAAGGCTTTTCCTCCATCGGTTGTCTGTGCACCTGCTGCTGCTCCCTCTGCTTCTGACGACTCTGATCCTACTACACACCGATATCCTTCTCAAGCACGTCATCCGCCAAACAGGTTGGGTTAGTCTAATACTTGTTTTTCTGCTTCGTATCGTACCTTTTTGTCTGCTATTCACTCTTTTGTAGAACCTCAGTCTTACAAGGAGGCCTGTCAGGATCCTCATTAGGTTCAAGCTATGGATGATGAGTTTGCTTTACAGAAAACTAGTACTTGGGAGTTGGTTCCTTTGCCTGCTGATAAGAACCTGGTTGATTACAAATGGGTCTACAAAGTCAAGACTCATTCTGATGGTTTTCTTGAGCGTTACAAAGCTCGTCTGGTTGCTAAAGGTTTCACTCAAGAGTACGGTATTGATTATGAGGAGACATTTGCTCCTGTTGCCAAAATGACTACTGTCCGTACTTTGATCTCTGTTGTTAATGTTCGTTCTTGGCCTCTTTATCAGATAGATGTTAAGAATACTTTTCTTAATGGCCATCTCACTGAGGAGGTTTACATGCGTCCTCCCCCTGGCCTTCACCATCCCTCTGGTCAGGTTTGTCGTTTTCGGTGTGCTCTGTATGGTCTAAAGCAGTCTCCTCGTGTTTGGTATGATCGATTTCAGACTGCTGTTACCGAGCTCGGGTTTCATCCTTCTGCTTCCAACTTTGCTTTATTTCTGCGACATACCTCAGCTGGTTTTGTTGCTCTCTTACTCTATGTGAATGATATGATCATCACTAGCTTGGACTCTTCTGCTATCTCTGAGGTCAAGCAGCATCTCTTCCGCACCTTCGAAATGAAGAATCTGGGTCCATTACGGTATTTTCTTGGTATTGAGGTTGCTTCTTCTCCCAAAGGCTATTTTCTGCCTCAGGCCAAGTATGCTAATGAAGTCATTCATCGTGCTGGTGTTACTGATACTAAGGTTTCTGATATGCCTATTGAGCTTAATGTAAAGCTTAACTCTATTGATGGTGTCCCTCTAGATGATCCCACTTTATATCGCGAGCTTGTGGGTTGTTTAGTTTATTTGACTGTCACTCACCCTAATCTTGCTTATGTTGTTCATGTGATTAGTCAGTTCATTTTTGCTCCTCGCTCTACCCATTGGCTGCTTTGGTTCGCGTTCTTCGCTATCTCAAGGGTACCATCTTTCAGGGCTTATTGTTGTCTTCTAGTTCCTCTTTGGACTTGGTGGCTTATGCTGACTCTAATTGGGCCAGTGATATTACTGATCGTAAGTCTACGTCTAATTTCTGTATGTTTCTTGGAGATTCCTTGATCTCTTGAAAAAGTAAGAAACAATCAGTCGTTGCTCGCTCTACTGCCGAAGCTGAGTGTCGTGCTATGGCTCATGCCACTGCTGAGATTGTTTGGCTTCGTTGTCTCTTGTCTGATTTTAGTGTCTCTCAGTCTTCTCCGACATCTCTCTATTGTGACAACCACAGTGCTGTTCAGATTGCCCACAATACTGTCTTTCATGAACGGACGAAACATATTGAGATTGATTGTCATTTTGTTCACCAGCATCTGCAGTCTGCCTCTATCTCGCTTCCTTTCATCCCTTCGGCTTTGCAACTTGCGGACTTCTTCACCAAGACTCACACTACCGCTCGGTTTCAGTTTCTTCTTAGCAAACTCTCAGTGTTTTCTGCTAAAACACCTTGAGTTTGAGCAGGGGTGTGAGACTATAGAATATATCATTGTGTGTTTTGTACAAATTAAAGTCCTATTAGAGGCATGATTGTGTTAGAGTCCTGTTAGAGACATAATTATAATTGTATTTATATTTTCTTTTTTGGTTTAGGATTTAGGGTTATATAATCTAAGGTCTGATTGTAATCTTTGATACAATTGAATATACAGAAAAGCTTTCAGATCACCGAGACGCAACTCACTCTTCCCCTTCGCTCCTCTCGCACCACGTTTACGCGTCCGAGCCATTGACGCTACAAAACACACAATGATATATTCTATATTCTCACAAGCAGATGGGAAATCACATGGGATAGAGTAAGATCTTAGTTTGTCTGTGTTGTGGATTGTGGGGTTCTCATTAGATGCTCATATCACTATCTACTGAGTGTAAAGATTTTGTATTGCATACTAGGAACAATAGCTCCAAAAAAGTTCCAAAAGTCTTGCTAGTATTGTGTTTCTGGCACAAGGTATTGATAAGAAGTGGATGCAAACTAAAAAAAGTAATAATAATAATAATAATAATAATAATAAAAAAGTTCTCCCAGTTTAGTGCCCATAGGATTGGGGTCTAGGATGCGTACATTGGATACAAACCTAACCTTTTGCATTAGTTGCACAAAGTGGCTACTCTCATGGTCGAACCCACAAACTATCTATCCAAAATGAAATAGCTTCCCTTACACTTTCTGTTATGCTGCCTTCTGTTTGTTACTACTCTTGCCTAATTTATTTCATATTAAATACGTATTTCAATACCATCAATGCCAGTTATACCATTACAGTTTATAGGAACCAATTTTGCAATTCAAGTATCACTTTTCCTCATCATATGTGAGAGAACCTAAACAAAATTTCATGCAACACAATTACTCTAACGATGTTATGCAAGAATTCTAAATTTTATTTAACACTATGCAGCCATTTGAAGACTTCAGGTGTATCTGGACCCAAAGCACGACCTCCCACAATACACTCCTCTTTTAGCTTGAGGCGTGAAGAAAGAGCGGCAAAACGTAAAGAGGCAAGTCCAGATCCATTCACTCCATATATATCTGCAGTTTTACTCATTTATTGTTATGCTGATTTTTTTGCTATCTTTTTATCATTTGCTGTTTCAGTTCTTTCAAAAGCTAGAAGAGAAGACAAATGCCGAGATCTTAGTTTCTGGAAGGAGGATAGCAGATGGGAAATCACATGGGATAGAGTAAGATCTTATTTTGCCTATGTTGTGGATTGTAGAGTTCTCATTAGATGCTCATATCGCTATCTACTGAGTGTAGAGATTTTGTATTGCATACTAGGAATAATAGCTCCAAGAAAGTTCCAAAAGTCTTGCTAGTGTTGTGTTTCTGGCACTAGGTATTGATAAGACGTGGATGCAAACTAAAAAAAGTAATAATAATAATAATAATAATAATAATAATAATAAAGTACTCCCAGTTTAGCGCCCATAGGATTGGGGTCTATTAGGGATAGATTGGATACAAACCTAACCCTTGGCATTATTTACACAAAGTGGCTACTCTCATGGTCGAACCCACAAACTATCTTTCCAAAATGAAGTAGCTTCCCTTGCACTTTCTGTTATGCTGCCTTTTGTTTGTTACTACTCATGCCTAATTTATTTCATATTAAATACATATGTCAATACCATCCATGCCAATGATACCATTACAGTTTATAGGAACCAATTTAGCAATTCAAGTATCACTTTTCCTCATCACATGTGAGAAAACCTAAACAAAATTTCGTGCAACACAATTACTCTAACGATGTTATGCAATAATTCTAAATTTTATTTGACACTATGCAGCCATTTGAAGACTTCAGTTGTATCTGGACCCAAAGCACAACCTCCCACAGTAGCCTCCTCTTTTAGCTTGAGGTGTGAAGATAGAGCGGCAAAACGTAAAGAGGCAAGTCCAGATCCATTCACTCCATATATATCTGCAGTTTTACTCATTTATTGTTATGCTGATGTTTTTTGCTGTCTTTTTATCATTTGTTGTTTCAGTTCTTTCAAAAGCTAGAAGAGAAGACAAATGCCAAGATCTTAGTTTCTGGAAGGAGGATAGCAGATGAAAAATCACATGGGATAGAGTAAGATCTTATTTTGCCTATGTTGTGGATTGTAGAGTTCTCATTAGATGCTCATATCGCTATCTACTGAGTGTAGAGATTTTGTATTGCATACTAGGAATAATAGCTCCAAGAAAGTTCCAAAAGTCTTGCTAGTGTTGTTCCAAAAGTCTTGCTAGTGTTGTGTTTCTGGCACTAGGTATTAATAAGACGTGGATGCAAACTAAAAAAAGTAATAATAATAATAATAATAATAATAATAATAATAATAAAGTACTCCCAGTTTAGCGCCCATAGGGTTGGGGTCTATTAGGGGTAGATTGGATACAAACCTAACCCTTGGCATTATTTACACAAAGTGGCTACTCTCATGGTCGAACCCACAAACTATCTTTCCAAAATGAAGTAGCACTCTTACACTTTTTGTTATGATGCCTTCTGTTTGTTACTACTCATACCTAATTTATTTCATATTAAATACATATTTCAATACCATCCATGCCAATGATACCATTACAGTTTATAGGAACCAATTTAGCAATTCAAGTATCACTTTTCCTCAGCACATGTGAGAAAACCTAGACAAAATTTTGTGCAACACAATTCCTCTAACAATGTTATGCAACAATTCTAAATTTTATTTAACACTATGCAGCCATTTGAAGACTTCAAGTGTATCCGGACCCAAAGCACGACCTCCCACAGTACCCTCCCCTTTTAGCTTGAGGTGTGAAGAAAGAGCGGCAAAACGTAAAGAGGCAAGTCCAGATCCATTCATTCCATATATATTTGTAGTTTTACTCATTTATTGTTATGCTGATGTTTTTTACTGTCTTTTTATCATTTGCTGTTTCAGTTCTTTCAAAAGCTAGAAGAGAAGACAAATGCCAAAGAGGCAGATAAAGTGTATCTCCAAGCAAAAAATAAGGTCATCTCTCGACCTATATTTTAATGGTGATTGGATTAATTGATTGAATTTTTTTTTCTTCTTTTTTTGACACAAGCAATGCAAATGAAATGCATACCTCTCATAGACCTGAAGAACTAACAAGAGCAAGTGCCTAAATGTCTTGGTCTGGTTTCTAAGTAATTCATGGACGAAATAATTGAGAAACACAAATAGCCTCAGTTGATCTGAAGTTGTTGGGTTCAATAATTCATGAGAAATGTTTAACAGAAATTGAACCCCTTGGGTGTCATAGGGGTTCAATTTCTGTTAAACATTTCTCATGAATTCTTAAAACTATTTGCTTTTCTCTTGTACCTTCCCTGCCAGCACTGAACCTGTTAATGTAAATTCTTTGTTGCAGATCTCACTGACACAGCCTATGCAGGTTAAGATGAAGTTAGTTAACCTGGGACATGCTCAGAGGTAGAATCTCATGACATTCCATCTTGTTATTTCGATTTTTGGTTCTGCTATTTTTCTTTCTATCATCGAATTTACAAGTACTTGGTTATTCATAAACTTTCTGGATATTCACTAACAAAAAAATCCTGGATATTCTGCTTGTCTTGTTAATTGATGTTCTGGTCTTTTAGATTGAATCTTAGATGGGTTCAGTCATTTGGGTTCAGTTAATTGATATTTGTTTTTCTCTTTTGTTGGTTCTTGGAGGCTGAAGCCAGAAAAAGACTAAACTATTTTAATTTTTTCCTCCTTCATTTTTGTAATAATTTGTGCCTTTTTTACTGTTAATATTAGTCTGTTTTCTTCTTCAAATATGAGATTTTGGAAATTGAGAAGATTCAGTGAATTAGATGCTTGGCATTACCCTGGATTTGTACTAGGGCCTTCTTCAAGTCTAACAGGAGTTTTGAGTTTTTGACCTTCAGTTTGTAATTTTCCACGTACTGCTTTAATCACTTTATTTACCATGTTCTTTATTGATTGTGCAGCGAAGAAACAAGGATGAAAATTGGCAATGGAGTGCGAATGGGGTGGGAAAGGTGCCGTGAAAAACTGAAGCTGCAGGAAACTTGCTACTTTGAGTGGCAGAATTTGATAGCAGAAGCTTCTAGAAAGGGATTTGTTGGTGAGGAAGAGAAGCAGTGGGACTCCTATAAGATCTTGGATGAACAGCTCGGGCAGGAATGGTTGGAGAGTGTTGAGCAAAGTAGAAAAATGGCAAGACCGAAAGGTAGCAAGAGAGCACCCAATTCTCTTGAGCAAAGGAGGAAAATTTCAGAGGCCATTTCTGCCAAATGGGCTGATCCTGCAAGGGCATATGTTGCATTTTCTGCTGAGAATGTATGCTGTTTATTTGGCCTAGTCCATCTTGTTTGCTTTTCATCAAGTGATCATTTAATTCACTTTGTCTAACCCTCCAAATGCGGAAAACATTTTCTGCTGATTTTTGGTGTTTGGTGCAACAGAAAACAGAAAATGTTTTCCATGGTCAACGAAAAATAAAATTATTTGGGTAGAAAATATTTTCCACCACCATCACCATTAAAACCACCACGCCACGGCCACCACCACCACTAATTACATAAGTTTGAAGAATGTAATGAAACATAGAAAAATGTTTTCTATGGAAAACATTTTCTGGAAAAAAAGGTTTCCGTGGAGAATATTTTCTGCTGAAACAAGCGAAGCATAAATGTTCTGAAAAAGGGGTGGTAGCCTAATCCTATCAAGCTCTGGGTTTTGCTGCTATTCCTAAATGGATGACTAACTTATTACTAGTACTAGCTATGCATATGCCCCTTAGACTACATTAGCACGAAAACGGTGTGCAAACAGCTAATTGATGGGTATTTGAATTGAATCCAAGTATACAGAAAAAAGTAGAATATTTGATGGACGAACGAGGGATCCTTTTGAGCGTGTTATAATAAGAAAAGCCTTATATCTTGAAATTAATTCATCAAGTTGATGATAAAAATCTATAACATATTATTGGAGCTTAACATTCCAAGATACCGATTTGTAGATGTTTCAACCTACTTTGTTTTTGTCTTGTGATACACCATTGAATGTCCAATGAATAAATCCTTATAGCCTCCATTTTCTGATTTAAGAATTGAACTTCTATGCTACTTTTTACATAGAATTTCTCCAACTTCTTTTTTTTTTTTCCCCTCTCTTTTATCCTGTGTGTAAGTTCCCAACATCTACTGATTATTTGTGGAGAGAAAAGTATCAAACGGTTGGTAAGTTGGACTGAATATAAGTTTTCCCTTTTGGGCCCAAGGCTCACTTGTGATTTATGGTGATAATCTGTATATTTCATTGCAAAGTATCAGAAGAAAGATAGTAATATTTGTCCCACTGTAATTGAGATAGTCATTATAAGTTAATAAACCCTTTTGACTTTTTTTTATATATCACATTAAATTTGCCAAAACATGGTTTGTTAAGCAAGTTTTATCTTTTCCCACTAGGCATACCGTGACAGGGTTTGCACTGCCCTTTATAAATATCATGGCACACCAGTTGGAGTAGAAAGGAAGCCAAAGAGAAGGCCAAGTAGTGAGGGACAACCCAGAACACAGAATCCCACAAAGAAGAAAGCTAATGACACTGATAATTCCACAGGGAATGTGACTGAAAGCCAAAAGCATCGTACTAGTTTAAGAAGTAATATGCCCTTATTTAAGGATCCTTTGGCAAGCTCCAAACTAGAGATGATAAAGAACATTAGAGCAGAGAGAGCAGCTGCTGAAAATAAGAAGACTGAAGCCATTGAACGAGCAAAGTAAGTGCCAATTCTTCTTCAATTATATTGTATTATATATTTAACAAGGAATTAAGAGAATATGGAAGCAATCCACTGCTTGTTTGGTGCAGCTTATGGGGACTACTTATCAATTATTTTATTTTATTTTGGGAATCTATGTGAGAGTTTGGTATAGCTTCTGCTTACAACTAAGAGGACCTCCAATCTTCGATCTTTTTTTCATCGAATTTGAATGAAAATTTGATTAAAAGCTTAGTGGTTGTTTGGCATGTGCTAAAATAGCATATGCTATTTTAGCACATTATCCTATTTAGGTCACAATTATCTTATTGAAGTCACATCACCTCTCTACCACATCACTTCAAACTCAATCATATTTCACGTTTGTTCGTAAAAGGTCAAAAAATATACTAATCTAACACTTCCCAAACAACCACTAATCTGATACAGAACACTACCATCCTTTCTCTTTTTTCATTTTTCATTTTTCATTTTTCATTTTTCATTTTTTGGTCAAATATTTTTGAAAATTTTCGATCTTCTCCAAAAAACTTGTTTTAACCATTTTTGGTGAAAGAAAATCATCTCCAATCCATACTCTTTTCAAAATTTCATCAAATTTGAGTAAAAATATGACTGTTGGGAATTTGGTGAAAGATTTGGTTCATCATTGATTTGTGAAAAAATAGCCTCTCCCTTGAGATTTGATGAAGAAGTTGGAGCACACTTTTAACCATTATGTAAGATGCTCTAACAAGCCAAAAATATCTTAAATAAACTGAAAAAGCTGATTGTTGAGAAACTGAGGAAGGATGCATTTAATTTCTACTTTATGATTATTATCTTTTAGCTTATAAGAAATTGTACCAAACAAGCCTGAGTCACTAACAATCGGCGGCTGGCTGAGTTATTGTTTGTACCTGTACATCTGTCACTACACATCGTATGCAGAAGTGCAGAAATCAGAAATGAATTGCCCCCCCCCCTCCCCTCCTCTCTCTCTCTCAATTGACGTCGAGTCCCTGTTGCTATGTTAGGCTGGTTTAGCTAAGATTTATCTGAGGATTCTATTCATAGATTTATAACATTTTACAGGTTATTGATTGCTGAAGCTGAAAAGGCTGCAAAGGCTCTTGAGGCAGCTGCAACAAAGAGCCCTCTCGCTCAAGCTTCCCTCATTGAAACTAGGAATCTCATAGCCAAAGCAATTCAATCCATAGAAATTGGACAGATTGATTCTCATGGGAATGGTAGACACCCTTCAATCGCCTTAGCAGAACTGGTCAACCAGGCTGAGAAAAAATAATCCAGGTATTCAAGGTCTGAGCCAAACAGATCACAGAGAAATCAATCATTGTGTTTGGTTCCTATTTTCTAAATTCATTTTTTTGAAAATTTTGGAGTTTTTGTTTGGTTATTTTGAAAACCAGACAGTTTTTTGAAAACTAACATGGGAGTCTTTTTTGATGTGACAATTTTTTTTAAAAAAAAAATTTATTTCTCTCCTTAAATTGGAGGGAAACTTGAATATGCAATAATGCATTTTTTTTAAAACCAAACAAAGATCCTTTTTCAAAATAGAGTTTTCAAATCACTTTTTGGAAAAATAATTCAAAAAAATGGAACCAAACATGATGAATGGTTACCCAAACAGTAGAATCAAGTAAGAGCGATTATAACGACTTTGGTTTTGGTAGATTCAACTTACACGATTTGCTTAATGGTAAGGAGGAACTTTATCAAACAAGCATGAGTGATTATGGTTTGCCTCCATCAGAACTGGATGGTATAATAAAACAATGCAGCTTCACTGAGCAACTGAGTCAACTTGAACTGAATGGGAATGGAGCAAAATTTCAGTCCAGGAAAGAGGAAACACCACCCAATTTCGTTGCAGGCTGGTTAAAGTGGTGGATGGAGATTAGGCTAGTGTACAAAAATGTTGTGAAGTTGGCCGAGTTTTCATCTGTTAGAAGGTAAATTGACTTACAGTTCACATCTTGATTGTTGCGGCCATTTTGGCACGAGAATGTTGCAGTTTAACCTTGTACATTGAGGTGCTACTGCAGTTGTCATGTGAGTTTCTTCATATTTATGGCCAACTACCATATGTATCATAATCACAATTTCCTGGGTTACTAAAATTCTGGTTGGAAGGATGGTATATTAGTGTAGTTATTGCTGTAATGTATCTTTGCAGTTATAATTGAATTAGGCACATCCATGTCATTGTAGACCTATATTATTTTATTTTATTTATTCTGGTTTTGTATACAATTTTATTGTATCCATGTTTGAGTTACGGAAATAATGGCCTTGCAAAAAAGCTCATTTTAGATTATATAATTTTATTTAAAATTTGACACAATTCTCTCTAATGACGTTTTGATACATTTAGTGGGTGAGTTTGGATTTGTTAAAGTTGAAAATCTTAATAATACATTGTCGATTTGAACAGTTTAGATGTTATTTGATCATATGATTACTTGTATATGATTAACTTAATTTTTTGCATTTGCTTGTCACATGAGATGAACGGCTTAGATCACTAATATGGACACCACGATTGGTCTTACAATGCACCAATTTCACAGAATCATCAATTTTAGCAAATCTAAATTCTTGGTTGATTTACCTCACATGACAGAGTTGTATATAATTTTGTGATTAAATTACATGAACTTAAATTTTTTTTCTAATGTAATATTTGATTTATTTAAATAAATGTGGAATCGAATGATAATTCCATTAGATTGTCTATTTTCAAGTTTGAATCACTAACTTTTATTTTTTACTTTTTATAGGCATTCATCCAATAGCAAATGAAAAGTTATTATTTCATAAGGTAACAAGGAATGAGCATTTTTTTTTTATTACACTTTCATTTTAAGAAACCAAAAAAAAACATTTTTTTATATATAAAACCCACAAATATCACAGAAAATGCTTCATTTTTAGGAAAATATTACTCTTAAATGTGTGCCTGGTTAGGCTTGGCCAAACAAAATTTCCACCATTGTTAAGGCACGAGTGCCGTTGTTATTAAAGTTGATTGGGCAATATTTTCTTTCACCACTTACGTTATTCTCTGAAATCATGCCAAATTTATGCATGTTTATGTGAGTCTTACTAGAATCTATAACTTGTTTTCTTAGAAGTGTAAGTGTATATTTTTTCACCACAACATACAATTTATATCATTAATTTTATAATAATGTAAGTTATTACATATCAATTATTAATTTATTTAAAAATTAATATATGAGACTCAATTCCTGCCCCTTTATGAGTATAATTAATTTCTTTTTGTGTGTGTATATTAACTTACATATCTTATTGTATATGTACATGTGTGCTTATATATATGCTAAAAAAATTTATTCAAATTTTGACTTTTCTAATAATAAAATTTTGATTTCGTCCATACTATGTAAGAAGGATCACTACAAGAATTAACACTTTTGGCAACAAAAAAATTGGTCGCTAAAAGTCTATTTTTGGTCGGCAAAAGTTATCCGCGACCAAATTTTTTGATCGCTACTTTGGTCGCCAATTAAGGGTCGGCAAAAGTAATTCGCGACCAAAATTATGGTTGTCGGCAAAAGTTGGATTTTGCCGACTAAATTTTTGGTCGTTAAATATTTAATTACCGCGACTAATTTATTTTGTCGCCAAAACACTTTGGTCGCGAAAAGTGATATTTTCCCGACCAAATTTCTTAGTCGCCAATTGTCACATTTGGCGACCAAAAAGTTTGGTCGCCAATTATTACATTCCGCGACCAAATTTTTTGGTCGCCAATTATCACATTTCGCGACCAAAAAAATTGGTCGCCATTTGTGTCTTTTCGCGACCAAAACTTTTGGTCGGCAAAAGTGAGATTCCACGACCAAGAGCTGTTTTGGTAAGCAATACATGTATTTTTTGCGACCAAAACTCTTGGTCGGCAATTGTCATTTTTTGCGAAAAAAAATAATTTTGGATGTCGCGACTAATAAATTGGTCGTCAAAGTAGGAAAACAATACACCTGTAATGATGTTATAATTCAATCAATCTATAATAAACCTATAATTTTGAAGCATCATTCAAATTAACTGAATTATTAACATTCGACATAATACATAATTCATTAACATTCGACACAATACAACTATTCTAAGTTTTCAACATTGGATTGCAAACCCGTATCTTTGCAAAAATCAATTAAATCCTATAAACATGTACATCGTATTAAGACAACTAGCTGGCATAATAAAACTGTACCTGTTGTTGTACCTGCAAATTTCAATACACGATGATTAATAAGCTAACAGCCATAACAACCCTGCCAGTAAGATAAGCAAAAAAGTTAAATACCTGTGTCATTGTCAAATCCTACTCCAACACAAATAAAATTCAATGATTGCTAATTGGAGGTTGAGCAGTTCTATCAGACACTAATTACTTCTCTAGGTAGCATATCTTACAAATGATGAGTTATTGAAGACCTAACATGAACTTATTCAGGCATAGTTAACTATCAAGGCTCTATTCCCTTTAAATGACCTAAAATTTGCAATTCACCTGAAGTGGGCCCTTCAGCACAATAAATATTTTCTTACTTTCCAATTTCCCAATAGGCAATAACATAGCACATAAATTCGAGGAATGGCGCAAGTGACGTTCCATATAGTGGTAAACCCAGCGTCATAAACTTTGACGGTCTTTCATTCTTCCCTTCATGATCACCAAAACTCATGGTACATGTTCAAGAGAAATCAGAAAAACTAAGTATAAACATTGGACATGGAGAGAGAATAACCTTCCAGCCGTTCTTTCCATACAGCACTCTTCAATTGTGAAACACTATCAGCATTTACTCCTACTGACAGTGATGAATTGCATTACTCATATATATATAGTGTTGTGGGTTATCATGAAAAACTAGATTTTATTATTTTGTCCAAAAAGATAACTTACTTGAAGAACAATCATAATTTAAAAATGAAAAGAAAAGAAGATGGTATTAACTGATAGGAACAACAGCGTGCAAATAAAACTACATATTCAGGCATTTGACAAAAAAAATTAATTAAAAATACCAGACAGTAAAAATTGTTAGGCTGACGCTGTCAAACAAAGCAAAAATGACACCCCCACAAAAATTACTACTTTTTTTATAATTATTTACGCCATGTAATTTCCCCTTCAATATATATATATATATATATAAATGTAGTACAACAAATCATAGTGAATGCGACCGTCCTGATGCTGTCAAACAATTTAATTGTTAGGTTGCAAAAGCCACCAATTTATACTGAGGCATAAATAAATACATCCATATAGTTTATTTATTTATATATATTTTTCACTGATTCTATTCTAGTCCCAATAATTATAATTTGAACACAAAAAAAAAAAACCTCACCACTTTGAGTCAGTTTTAATGTTGACCTACATCCAAGTTAATTAGTAAAAAGATGACCCCAAAAGGAATGTATCATGCACATTAAGGGCAAAATGAGCACTACTTTTGCCTTGGACCCACCAAATCCAAATGGGTTATCCATTTTCTAAATGAATAAGCCCATCATCCTCTTCCCTCACCAACCAAACACAACCTAAAGAAAACAATTTTAAAATATTACAAACAAAGCAAGAGAAAAAAAGAAGTGGGAATTCTCAAGGCAAAAGAACTAGTAGGAAACTAGCCTTTAAAAGAAAAAAAGAAAAGAAAAATGAAAATAAATAAAGCAACCTAAATTGCGTTTTAGACTAACAGCAGAAACACCAACCACTGAGGAAGCTTCCACAATTTCATCGTGCAGTCTTCGCTATATGTCGCGACAAGGTTTCTGTGGGAGTGATGTGTGATACCAATTACATCCTTCTCATGGACCTGCCAAATTATTAAGAAATAATAAGAGCACTTTCAAGCCAGAAATATTGGATTTCTGCATAATGCAAGCCAAATTAGTAAAAGAGCTTACCTATGTATATCGTCATGTGATCCTTGTCACTTGAGGATTTCTTCCAAGGGATGATGATGGAGGTTTTGCTTTAGCATCTTTGGAGAGCAATGAGAAGTCCAACAATGAAAAGAGAACCCACCATGGTCCCGGTCACTATTTCCAGAGCTAAAAGCCAGGCGGGTTTTGAAGCTAAGGCAGGTTTTGGAGCTTCCTCATTCATAATTCCATCTTGACCATGCCAGTGGTTCTGGTTGACTCCTGAATGACTGGTAGCAGGTGGAGCTTTGGCTGTAATACAAGGAATTTTGTCATTTACAAACCACAAAGTTGCACTTAATTTGCAACAATTTGCACCAACATCATGTTCTAGTGGAGTGGATGTTACAAAAGAGATTTGATTAAATATCATTATACTTGTAACTAAAACAAGGATTAAATGTCCCCAAAGAAACTCAAATTGGCCATTTAAAATAATAATTAAAAAAAAGAGTTAAAACTCTTTTTAAAGGGCTTTATCAATGGTTCTACTCCCTCCCGTACTGACATCTTTAAAAATTTTCAAGGGTGTTTATGAATCCTCTTAGGAAGCTCACCAATTATAGAGCCCCAAGGATGATCATGTTGTACATACTACATACCACATCGTGCTGTAGAGCGCTGTTTGGGATCTTTGTCTTGAAGGCAGTTCCCTTGAAAGCTTGACCTGGATGAATTAAACTATGTAATGAAAAGTTTAGGAAACAAAAACAATCCAGATTGAAGGTATTTCAAAAGAGTACCTTGGAAGGTAATCTAAGCACTTGGGAATGCTCCCAACAAAGAAGTTGAATGAGAAATCAGCAAATTTTAACTGAGATGAACGACAGAAGCCAATAGTGTTCTCACTTGAGGTATACTTGTAGCAGAAATGGCATGTGTCAATTTAAGAAGATCAATACATTGGGAGCGATTTGCTGCAAAATATTGGTATTTTATTTTTCAAATCGACTAGATTAACAAACGCTGAAGTGGACCTCAATTTTCTCAGCATACCCTGATGCAGTTAATAGGACCAGTAATATTGATAGTCATGAATCAAAAATCCACATCAACAATTAGTCGCGTTCATTGCAGCACACTTGAAAATTTCAAGATGCTTATATAGTGAAAAGAACTAACAATAGCTGTGAAAAGTTACAAAACACATTTTTCACAAAGAGCTAGAAGTTTCTTTGAAATAGTGGGAAACCAAGATAAAGAGAAGAGCGTGACATCTCAAAGGCGAACTTATCGCCCACTTCGTACTCCCTCTGTCCAAAATTGTTAGTCCATCTTTCCATTTAGGGATGTCCCAAATTGTTAGCCGGAGATCAAGACAACAAGAAGGAATGACATCTAAAATATGAATTTATCCCAATTTCCTACTCCTACAGTCCAAATTGTTAGTCTATCTTCTAATTAGAGATATTCCAAAACGCTGGCCCAGTTTGAAGTGCTAAAAAACATATCATTGAATGACGCAGGTTATCCTCACAAAGAGATATGAAATATGCCACCTAAACACCTAAACAGGATATGCCAGACCAGTCACAAGGATCTGCATCTACCTTATTCCAATTTGACAAAGCCATAAGTGGGTCCTCATTTATAGTTTCGTTGAAGGCATAAAGAGCAGACACTGAACAAAACACAGAATTCCAAGTGAGACAAAAATTTAAAAATAAACAAATAATTAATTAAAATCCATAAAATCAACAGCAAAATCCAAGAAATTTTCCTCAGAAAAGAATCAAATCATATACCACATTCATATAAATACTAGAATCAAACTTAAGAAAAAAAAAAAAAAAGAGACAGAGATCGTAAATTAGAATGCACTACTACAAAAACTACTTTGTTGCTATAAGAATGCACTACTACAAAAACAGGTAAAGATCACACTTTTTTTGTGTGTTCTATGTTATTTAATCACACTTTTAAGTTTTGTCAAAGTGTGATCTTTGGGAGTGTGATTAAAAAGGATCGTTTTTAATCACACTTTTTAAGTGTGATTAATAACATTTAGATCACATCTTTTAAGTATGATTAATTACTAATAAAACCTGTGATAATAAACATTTAGACCACACATTTTAAGTGTGATTAATACCTACAGTGATCGCAGCTCAATCTATATTCAATTTGACATGAATTCTGAAAGTTCTGGGATAGACCTACCATTTCATTCATGTATGTTTTTACACTGCTTGTATACAGGTGTGTATGCTTTTACACTATTTGTATATACACATACGTAGAAACCACATATATGGAAAATTGCTTTGTGGAATGATAAATGCTTGGACTGCATATTATAATCTGAGGGCAGCCACTTCACGCAAACAATGCCAAAGGTTGGGTTTGATACATAGCTTGTCCATTCTTCCCACCACCCTTGAATGTAGACTAATATAGGCTATTAGCATTTTCTACATATTATATGTACATGTTTTGAAAGAAGAAAAAAATAGTCAGATATTTATTTCAAACCAGAAAGTATAATATATCACTAAAAAAGTCACACATCTGTACATAGTTGATGACAAATAAGCAAAGAAAGTGCCTTACTTGTTTGAGTGTATGCTGAGCAAGATCAGTTGATATCATCACTCCAGCAGCAAAGGAACCCAGCTCTAAGCGTAGACCAAGCTTATCACTACACTGAAATTACACAAACAATTAAAACAGAGATGCTTGAAATTAATACATGCAAACTTCGTACATACAAATGTAAAAAAAAATAAAAATCGAAAGAAAATTATTAAGCCAAAAAAAGAGTTCCACCATGACAGTATGCAAATAAGTTGGTATGATATGTAAGCATAACAATATGGACGTAAAGATCTAGAGAGATTAGGAAAAAAACAAGCCCATGCTACAAGTAGGCAGAATGCAACTGCTGCCTACGTTACACGGACTCGTCAGTTTTGGCGAAGTACCCGTGTCGACACGACACGACACGGGTACGGGTACGGAATCCGGACGGGATACGGCTTGGAAAAAGTGGATACGGCATAGAAGAAGAGGATATGGCATATGGAAGTAAGAAGAAAGATGGCATACCTGTGATTAGGGCTATGAAAAGTGCAATTAGGGCTTCGATCCTGCGATTAGGGATGCGATCTTCTTCTTTCGAACTGTCTGCTTTTCTCTCTCGATCGTTCTCTTCGTCTGTCTCTTCTCTCGCTCTCGATCTCTTCATCTCGTTCTTCTCTCTGGTTCGATCAGCTTCGTCTCTCCCTTGCGATGCTTCGCTTTTTCTCCCTCTCTCTCTGTGTCGTTTTTCTTCTTCTTGATTCAGATCTCTGCTATCTATTGTATCTATCTATTATTATAATAACAATCTACCTATTATTATAATAACTATAATAATAATAACTAATATTATTATAATAACTATAATAATAATAACTAATAACTATAATAATAAATGTTATTATTATATATTATATAATAATAATAGTTAATAATTATTTATATAATAATTATTATATAACATATAATATATTTATTAGATAATATATTTATTAACTATTATTATTATTATCTATCTATTATTATAATAACTATAATAATAACTATTATTATTATATATTAAATAATAATTATTATATAACATTAATATATTTATAAGATAATATATACTTATATATATATTAATAAAAAAAATAAACACATGTATGTAAAATAAAATAAAAAAATGAATTAGAACACATTATTTAAAAAATATAATAAATAAATAAAATAATTAATATATATTAAAATAAAAATATTTATAAAATATATATATATATATATAATATCTCATCTTCATATAATAAATATATATTTTTTAAAAAAAGTTATTTAACGTATCCCCGTACCCGTATCCAAATTTGGATACATATCCACGTATCCTTAATTTTTAATTTTGAAGTGTCCGACCCTTAGATACGTACCCGCACCCGATACTCGTACCCGAGTCCGTGTAACATAGACTGCTGCCAATTGATACAGTTCATTGGTCTGCAAGGGTAACAAACAGATCAAAGTAAATCAATTAGTGATCTTGCACGTTCAAACACACTGAGAGAGAGAGAGAGAGAGAGAGAGAGAGAGAGAGAGATCTGTTGACTACAGAATATGCATACATGTGATGATAGGCTTATCATAAGTTCAAAAATATATATATATATATATCTAGTAAGGGACTGCTATAAGCAGTAGCCAGGACAACCACCACTAGCCTCAAAAATAAATTAGCAGCAGCTCTTAATCAAAAACATTTAATCAGCAGTGGTCAGATAGAAACATAGATAACCTCCAGCAATTAGTTCTGGCAGTTAGATAAGAGTTGATGCTAATTTTTACCAATTAAATTATGGTGACCAACAACAACCGCCATTAATCTTAAACAACTAATTATATGCATTCAAACAAGAACCATTAGAATTGTGAACTACTACTTTTTATCATGTTTCTATGTAAGAAACGTGAAGATAAATAGTGGTTGATGAACAATACCGGCACTAATTCTGGTGAGAACATTACATGTGCTATAATGGGTATATTTTTTTTACCATATGAGATTCATTGACATGCTATATGTTGAAGAATATTTGGGCTGCCATTTTGGGAATTGTTAGATGTATGTCATTACCGGTGAAGTGTCTTTATTATGTCCTTTCACAGATTTTTTTCTGTAGTTCAATGTTTCTTTCAGCATTAATTATATTTCAATTGATGCTTTACTTGTTTAATTTGGCGACTCTCTAATAGCTTTGTGCTTTTAGGCAATCGACCAAACAAGGTTGAGGTTTCTTTTTTAGAAGGAGCTTCAGACAAGTGATGTAGGCTCCCTCAGGAGAATGATAGTCCCAAAGGTTTGTAATTTATCTTTTCTAATATGAAATTATATTATTAAGCCCATTGGTAGCATAGAGAATCACTTGAATTGCAATTTCCATTGTAGTTTTCAATTTATTAATATTTCACTTGATGCAATTTGTCATGTAAACATATTAGCTTGGTGCTGAACTAATTATCTACTGCTAATTCCTTTTGGTATATGGGACAACTTGATTTCAGAAAGCAGCTGAGGATTACCTTCCCATCCTACAGGAGAAGGAAGCATTTGTTATCAGCATGGATGATATGGATGGCCTGTATGCTTGGAGTTTCAAATTCAGGTTTGAGTTTAACTGGTTTGTTTTGATCACTGGAAGGTAGCTGTGAGGATGGATAATAATTTGAATTAGTTTTGAAGTTAGAGGATTGCCCATTGAACAAGAACTATTAGATTTTTTAAACTTGCAAATCAACTACTTCAAGGATATCATCACTCTGAACAATATTGAGATTGCTTCATATTTTGCACAAGTCGAACAGGAAACAAGTAGGAGATCTCAGTTGCTAGAATGCCAGTCAAACCATAATTTTTGTTTATAAGCCAGAACTACTCCAAATTGAGTAGTATAACAGTTGCTGCACACTTGTCACTAATCAAATTCTTCCAATCTGTACAACACACTAGGTGTCACATTACACAAGTAAAACATTAAAGTTAATAATAGAACTAAGCCTTCCGCAAATGTGTACCATTTAGTAACAATATGTTTATGATGTATCCTCAAACAGAATACTTTCTTGAAATTAGTTTCACCTCAGCTAAATGCAAGTGATTTTATGGAAGGAGGGCAGGGGTCAACAAATTCCTGGAAAAAAATACAAACCTTTCTTGCTACATCCATCCCGTTGAGATCGTCACGAGGATCTGCGAGAATAAATATGAAATCAAATTAAGCATTTCTTTAATCAAAAGTATTTGTCTTCAAATTCTAGAACAATCTTACAGAAGAACAGAACTAAATACAGTAACACAACGATCAAACTGTAATTAGATGACATCAATGAATCTAGCTTTTTTGAGCAGCATCTGCAGGTAAAGTAAAATCATTACGATACCATTGGAGTAAATGAAAGTCGTTAACAACCATAGTATAGAAACAGCTCTGCTATTCAATGAAACAAACCTAGTTTAATATAACATCATCAATTATGGCCAAAATTCCTATATTGGCCTAATATGTTGATGCATTTGTGAAAAACATATATATACACACATCAAAACATATATAGGGAGATTCAATTTCTGCTGACATCCCTTTGTAAATCCAACTACAATCTTCTATTTCTTTCTAGACCAAGGTGCATCCTTACGAATGTGTATCTAGCTGGTCTGTTATAAACTGTCAACCATATATGAAATTAACAACAATAAATTTTTAAATATATATATATATATATATAGAAAACACACAAACAAAAGCATACAAAACTAATTTTAACACACAACTAATAAACAAAATTGAAATTAGAAAGTGCATTTCAGTTATGTTTACATGCATCAACTGCAAAGTACACATTTATTCTGTGTATCTTCAAAAAGAAATCTGGAACTTCACCACAATTTAACATAAAAAACACATGTTGGCTTTAGCAATTCTACAAAGTAGCACTCCGGTGTGATTTATGCAAGACTCTTTCACAATAAGACAGGGATTCCTCAATGTCATTCAGATTTTTATTCAAACTTCAAAGTACAGAAACAGAACATAGCACAAAAAGATTCCCCAAAGGAAAACAAACCATGGGGCTCAAAAGGACATTAATTGTATGGAAAGAAAAAGTTTTTTAAAGGAATTTTCCTTTTCACATGCACATATGGAAAGAGAAAAGAGAGCAGAAAAATGAAAGCAAGGAGAAGAAAAAGAAGAGAGGGAACCACAGATAGAGAGCTCAATTGCGAAATCATTTTTTTATTTGGGTTAATTATAGAGTAAAGCTAACCTAGAAAGTAAGTACCCAAATCATATCATACCCAGTAGGATAACATGCAAGGCCTGAAATTTTTTCCATACACAAGCTACTAAAATCACAAATACATAGCAATATTTTATCGAAGATCCCTAATAGGCCAGGGTGTAGATTTTGGGAAGATTGTAGTGTCCGGCACCATAATTCATTCCAAAATGCAATACTTCATCTATTTATTTGTTAATAATGGACCAAAATGCAATAATTCATTCCAAGACCAAAATGCAATAATTCATTCCAAATCCAAACACCATGTGCACATGTAGGACCCACTATATTCAGAAAATAATGAGACCACCATTATTTTTGGAAAAGATTGGACCTACATGAACACACGATGCTTGCTGTGTGAATCCATGAAGGAGGAGAAAAAAATCTTGTCCAATTATATATTAACAATATTACAAAATACAAACTCAATTCTAAGATATCAATCAAGTAGCTCATTTTAGATAAATAGATATGGATATAACCTGAAAGGGTTTGAACATGATGATCAAGGATGGAATTAGTATTGATATTCAAATGGAAGTAAAATGGACAAATAATAAGAGTTTGCCTTTGATATTATGTAGTCAATCAGATTGAATTAGTATTGCTTCATCCTATTTGTGCATTCAATGAAGTTGTCTTAAACAACACACCATCAAAAATAAATAAATAATGAACTCGCACTCCTATCATACAAGCCAAACATTTTAAAAAATAAGAATAATGAACTACAGTAACTTCTGAATATTTTTAAGACAGCGGAATGCTATCATTTTTTTTTATAATAATATTTTATTTGAATAAATTTCAAGACTTAAAATAGTAAAGTTTGATTATCATCACGTTGCTATTATAAAATTTCAAGAATAAAAAAGACAATCTAAAAAATCTAATCAACATTGTATAACACATTGAAGTGGACAGATGTATCAATCACCAATCATCCACATTGAAGTGGACAGATGTATCAATCACCACATTGAAGTGGACAGATGTATCAATCAACATTGTCAAATAACTGAAAATAATTTTTTTAAGAGGCATTACAACAAACACCAATCATCCACCACAACAGATACCCATTTCATCATTACTTATAAAAATAAAAAATAATAAAAAAGAATAAGAAGCAGTACCAGCTAATTTCAACAAAGATGATTAATAAAATAATAAGATTAAAAAATTAATACGCAATTGCGTAGTGATGGCAAGAATAAAGCAACAATCACAATCAGAACAGAATACAATCAGTTATACAAACTTTATTGTTTTCGATGTTTTCATGAAATGAATTTTTTGAAACTCAGACAAGTGTTTAAAATAGTCCATTAAAATGCTCTGTTTCTAAGAAATTCGTAGTGTCATGTCAGTATGCATGGAAACATTAATGTTTCAAAAAGACTATAGAAAGAAACAAAAAAAGGAACTTGGAAATAGATGGAAACATTCGTAGATACAAAGGCAAAGGTGGAGGGAAATCTATTTACCATCCCTCAAACCCAAATGTAAACAGGAGCTTTGTGCACTGGATACGACCTTCTACCATTACATTCATAGATACAAAGGCAAAGGTGTAGAATCAAAAAGTAAATGTTGACACGAGCAAAATTTCATGAGTAATATCAAATAAATCAATTTAATGGAAAGAAAATTTAGATGATTCTAAAGGCGCATATAAATTTATATGATTCTAAAACTTGTAACAAAATCATTCTAAAGGTGCATATATCCCAACATCATACTGATATTGACGACAATCATAAGGTCTTCTATCATTTTTTCCCTTAAAATAAATAGAAGAACAAAAATAAATTTATGAGATACTAGATTTGCGTAGACACAAGTTGTTGCTTCAGTATGTTTTGGAGTATTTTGCTATGTTTTGATGTCTTTCCATGACAACAGTAAAATTATATCAAAACAATAAAAATTTCATTTTTCCACTAGTACCTAATTACAATGTCCTAGGAATACAAAATTTTCAGTTTTTTCAATTAAAATAAAAGAAATTGTGTACCTTGGTAATCACCCGAAAAAAAACAAAGAAATTAACAAGAAATGTTTTTAAAAAATCTTGTTTATTTACACAACATTGATCTTTTTAGGCAGAATCAAGTCAATATGGCAACACTCTCTTCCTTCCGAAACAAAAATGCATACTGCTATAAAAACCATACTGAATACAGAAAAATCTAGCATGCAATAAAACTTGTACATCAGATTAGAGTAGAACACAGGGGCAAGAAACAATAAAAGAATTGTCAAGGTGCAACATAACTGAAATTTATAAATTCAGAATGCAATTTTAGAACTCAAACCATCCACTTAAATCTTGGGATTGTAATGCCATGCATACCTAGCTGATGTGGCCAAGATATTTGGTTTCCCAGAATTAAATCGAACAGATATAACTGTGTCTTTTCCCCACTCAAAGCTATTCACAGGCTGGGACCTATTTACAATGAGAAAAAATAGCATGTAAAGGTAGAAAAAATTCAGGAAGTTAAAAAGAATCAAAACAAGTAGAGTTTCAAAACCTATTATGATCCCATATATCTACTTGAGCTCCAGCGGTGGCAAAGATATTACCCTCATATTGGTGATCAACAGCCCTAAAAAACATATTCATCACAGATTGAATGTGTTAAATCAAAAATTAATTCCAAAAACAGACTTAATTTTAATTTTCATAACAGATTGATTCAGAATTCCTGAAAATATAAAACAACTAAGAGTAGTAGTTACAGATTCAAACCATTCCTTAAGCACAAACCATTCAATTCCAAAACACTCAGACCTTGATTTTCAATTTAAATTTAATTTAATTCCAAAACACACAAACCACACAAACATTCAAATTTAATTTTCAATTTTTACAGATTTAAATCCTAATCATTTAAAAAATCACTCTAAAGAATCTAGAATCATAACTCAGACCTTGATTTTTAGATAACAGACATATACTCTTACCTTTGATCTAAGATCAAACAGATTCAGATCACACAGAACACACAGAACACAGATTCAGATCACAGATTCAGACCAAAACAGATTCAGACCAAAACAAACACACAGAACACAGATTTAGATCTGTTGGTCCAACAAACACACAGAACACAGATTCACATTCGATCGGGGCAAGAGAGAGAGAGAGACAGAGATTGAGAGAGAGAGAGAGACAGAGAGAGAGGCTTACCCGTGAATAGATCGGTGCGATGAGAGAGTGAGACGATCGGTGCGATGATATGAACAACGAGAGAGTGAGAGAGACAGTGATGAGATGAGAGTGATCGCCGATCGGTGCAGAAGATGAAGATGAACAACGAAACGAGAGAGTGAGAGAGACAATGATGAGATGAGATGAGACTGAGAGTGAGGTATAGACAGGGATTAGGGTTTTTTCTTTTGTTTGTTATAGATGAGGTGAGTGAGATGGTGAGAGATGGACGGTTAGATTTGAAAGAGGAAAAAAAAAAAAAGTAATTTTGGCGACTAAAATATTAGTCGCTAAAAATCACATTTGGCGACTAATTTTTTTTTGTTGCTGAAAATAAGTTTTTGGCGACCAAATTTTTGGTCGCCAAAAAATATGTGACCTTCCGCGACCAAATTTGTAGTTGGTCGGCAAAAGCATACCACTTTTTGCGACCAACTCATTTTTTGGTCGCTAAAATATAACCTTCTGCGACCAATAATATTTGGTCGCCAAAATTAATGATCATTCGCGACTAATTGATATTTGGTCGCCAAATGTCATTTTTTGGCGACCAAAATTTTTTTGGTCGGCAAAAGTGGTTGCAAAATGTGTAAATTCTTGTAGTGGATTACTTGAAATGTAAGAAACACTTATCAATGTTTTAATGGATTAAGGATTAAAGCTACCTGATATGTAAGAGACACTTATCAATACTTTAATGGATTAATGTTATTCTTAGTCATCAAAAGTAGGGATGAATTCAAAATTTTACTCCCTTCGTCCAATATTAATAGTCCTTTTTTGAAAATTCAAATTTTAAATAATTAATTCCAAAAGTACCCTTCTATTTTCATTATTAAATACAGTAATGATACATAGCTCTAAATACAGCTCTAGTGAGGTAGAAGTGGGAGAAAGTACAGAGAGATAAGCGTGTGGACCACGCATTCACATGGGCACTCTCCACATCATTAGAGTTGTATTAGAATTTTCAAATATTATTCTTTTAAATATATTGATAATTACTTTACAAGGGATAATTTTGAAAAATTTAAAATTTAAAATTTTAACTTTCAAAGTGGACATACATTTTGGAACAACAAAAAATGTAATAATGAACCAATAAAATAGGATGGAGAGAGTATTATCGAAAGAGTCAAAATTTGAATAAAAAAATTTCACCATATATACAAGTATCCTTGTACATATACAATAAGATACATAAATTATATATATACAAACACAAAAAAAAATATATATACATATATATATATATAAGGGTTAATTACAAACAAAAAAAAAAAAACTTCAAAATTTCCCGCATTTTTCACTTTAAAAAATTTCATTTTCAGGTTCAGGTGATAAACTACCTCCAAGGACTTAGCTTGGGAGGGTTTGGCTTCTGGATTGAAGAAGATTACTTTTAGTTAATTGTCTTTAATTATTAGTACATGTAAACGTTCAAGCCTAGGGCTTTTCTTGTATTGAGATTAGAACTCATATTTTTGAATTCAAGTGTTGGCTTGGAAAGATGTAAGCCTGTAGGGCATTTTATTCGATGTTACATGTAATGCTTTATTTAGTAATACTCTGATGAATGAATTAATAAATTGTCTTCTTTAAATAATGCATGTCAATGATATATAATGGGTTAATTTTAAAGAAGTGATTTCATGAAAGAGGATTAATTATATATATACATATATATTTCTTTTTGAATTTTTTTGAGAAAAATATTTATATATGATTTTTTTTAGGATAAACATATTGTTTTGGAAAATATATTTTGGCCTACTAATTTATTTGTATTAAAAAATAATTTCAAGTAAGAATATCGAATTTTGTTATAGCTACAATTGGGAGGAGGAAACTCGAATCTCCACATTATCAGTGGGCATCTTCAACTAATTGATGTGTCATCAATGTACTGATTTAATAAATCTCACCTTTGATGTCTTATAACAAATACATTAGTAACACAAATAATCTAAAATTTAGTCACCGCAACATAACTAAAATTGAAATTATCCAAACAAGCAATTATTAATACAATAGACAAACAAAAAGGAATCCAAACATGCAATAAGTTCTTGCTGATGAACATCCAATGCAATCAACCAATCCATAAATCTACACATTCTCACAAAAACAGTTTCTCTATATGTAGCATCATATCATTTTGACCATTTGCATTATACAACATGATCAAAACTAACAACTAAGAAAGTACTCTAAGATTATGGAATGCAATGTGATTAGTGAGATAAGAAAGTCCTTTTAGACAGTTTTACGAGGGCCTACCAAAATTTATCAGATCAAAATACAATTGAAGAAAGAAAAAGAACAGCCGCCCCTTTCACGCAGGGGGCATTATTAGAACAAAAATGTCCATGTGACTAATCAACAAATGCGTTTGCTACTGCCACTAATTGAACTATATTTCTATACAATTTATACCAAAGGGTTCAAGTAAACCACTGTACAGTTCTTTGTGATCTGTTTTTTGATATTATTATGTCAGTTCTTATCTTCGGGTGATGGGTTATATTACCAGTGTTCCTTCAGTGATTTGATTATCATCTGAAGAATCAAAGGGTTGAGATTTGGGTTTACTCATGATCCGAGAGTATCCATAACCGAGAGAGCCTCCACTTGCTTCAGAGAGCTACATGCAATATTTGATTGTGGTACCTCAGTCAAAATCCAGCATGATCAAAACTAACAAGACTAACCGAATTACGAAAACCAAACATTAATAAGTACCTCGGTAAGCTCAGAAAGATGGTGGGACCTAAACTTGTTGATAATAGCTTTTATTTCTGACATGGGCAGTTTAGCCTAACAAGGAAAAACAAGATAAAGTAAGAACATTCGAAAGATGCCAAACCAAAATAACCAAACTTCTGTAATGTTTTTGACTTTCCATAGCACATGCTAACAATTTCACAAGCAAGCATCAACCAACAGCAGTAACAAGAGTTTGAGTTGCTGCTTTGCAGCTGGCGGATCCACAAGATCAGATCCAAATGCCTTCAGTTTTCAATGTGTTAACCGAGTCAAATGCGTTTGTGTGTGTGTATGTCACGTGAAAGTGAAATTATATCATATAAATCACAAAACACTTCAGAGAAGCAACAGCCGCTTCTGCTTTACAATCAGAGAACCAGCATGGACATAAATCAGGTGCTCAACAATGAAGACGGTGTACACAAATAGTTGAATTGAGAATTAATAGTAAGCATGTAGCAAGTCACTAATTCAAATTAAAATATCCAATAAGATGCACTGTAATCATTAAGATTGTAGCGAAAAGAGATTAATCTTACAGTGATTTTATGGAATATCAATCCAAAAATTGATCAATTACATTGCATACTAGCATAGCATGGTGGTGACAAATTCAATGGAAATAATATTCAGCTTCCTTATGATTTGTTACAATCGGGACTCCACACTACACGCATGCAACCAATTACCGAAAAGAAAATAGTATTCATCAAATAACTTACGCAGTATGTACTAAATACAAACAACATACATAGCTCATGCAGTGAAAAATCTTATACAATTCAGTGTCATCGATACTGTTTTTTACCTGTGCAAGAACAGCAGCAGCTAATTGGAGACTAGGTTCCAAGGCCTTGGGGACAACCTTTAAGAGTTTCAACTAAAACTCAAGATATGATGTAATTTGAACAAAAAATTGATCTTTGTATAGATAATGCAAGATATATTAGTACTGATTAATGATTTATACATAAGTCAAACAAGAATAATGAGCTCCTAAAACATAAAATAAAATTGTAAGATTAACCTATATAGGCAATTAGGAAGAGTGAAATAACTAATGAAAACAGCAACAGAAATGTACCGCTGTTGCTCCCGCCTTTTCCAAATTGAGTCCATGATCAACGTCATGAGCACGGACAAATGTCTTGACATTAGGGAAATACTTGCTCAAAGCCCACACTGTTCTATAGTTTGCACCAGGGGTATCTAAAGTTATTGCTGCTGCACATGCTCTTTCAGCACCAACTTTATGGAGCACCTCATGGCCAGGAATACAAGCAGCATGTCAGACAATGAACCTGCACAAAGCATATTTAAGTTTGAGCAGGATCATCTATCCCTCTCGACTACCAGCATCACCAAAATACACAGGAAGATCAAGTGCACAGCCAACTACTACTCAGTCACTGAAATGATGGAAAATCTAAAATCAGTTATCTGGATACTGTTGTAAAATATTCTCATAACCATTTAACACATTCTCAGTAAGTCATGGACACGGTACCTTTTCTTTTTTGCCAATTTGCATTTATGTTAAAATGTTCACAGAGATTCAGGGAATATAAGTAAATATAGGAAAATATGGAACCAAAGGCTGGATAATCCTGGATATTCATTTCATAGACTTGAAATCCCCATGTTGTCTTTAGCAAGTAATACTAGATTTTATCATAAAAAATGGACGTCATAAAAAAACAAATGCGGCATACCCCAGAACAGAACTACATGAAATAGTCTTCAAACTGGCATAGATTACCCAAAAGGAACTAGAAAACTCACACAGCCCACACTCATATGACTAAGATTTTCAGCAAAACATTCAATCAGCAATCCCTTCTCTCTCTCAGCCCCAAAATTGACTTTATTCCAGGAATATCAATTCATTGTGATGGAAGCATACCTCCTCACATCAAGAGCAACAAATGGAATAAGTCGTTCTGAAAGAAGCTGCGCAATGATCTGAAAGAACAACAGAAGGAAATGCTACTCTTAGACAAAACATGATACATACATCCATACATGAACTACATTATTTTTTGGGGTACGAATCTATAAATAAACTACATTAAAAATAGATCCACCACAACAAATGATTTAAAACAAATTCATCAAAAAAAAAAATGCAAATAGTGACAATACCTGGCCAACACGTCCAAATCCACAGATAATGATATGGTCCTGCAAATCATCTGTCTGGAAACAAGCCAAAGGAAATCAACGATCAATACATTCAGTGAATATTTCGGTGTAATAGCAACATCAACCCTATATCAAAAACAGACAATTCATCCCATGGTCAGATGTATGGCTGCACCAGACATTAAAAACGATTTAAATTATTGAATAAAAATTTAGTAGATCCTAGGTACAGTTGGACATTACTATATTCAGGAGTTTGAATAGATTTAATAACGGATCATATCTTATACAAATATTGCAAGACCTAACTTAGTTTAGGCACAGACTTTATGGCAACCAGTGCGTTCTCTTCAAACAGTTCATCATCATATCAAATATTTTTACATGAACTCCAAATGGCAAGACTTCGAGAAGTAATATAACACAAAATACCCAAATGCAAGCGAGTAAGTGTTTACCAAAGATTTCTCAAATGCATAAGCATCAGTGAGTCTATTGAAACCTAAGATCAAAACAAAATTCATACACATACATGGTTCAAATTAAAAAAGGCTTCATGATGTATGTTCGACACAGAGAGACTTTGATGAGAGAGACTTTGAGACAATCATAAATATTTCCCCACATTCTGGTGCAATAACTAATAATGCTTATAATAATTTTTCTTTTCTTTTCTTTTTTTTTTGGGACACAAAAATGAGTATGCAGATAGGCTACTCCAACAATATCCGTCAGGAAGTATTGCCTCTACCACCTACAACATATCTGCAGGGAACTCTACCTGGCACCTACATTGGGGCTGAAGCTTAGGCCCCCCACAGCTGCCAACACACAAAGAGTATGTTTAGTCCCAAAAGGACTATGGAGACTCGACACCCCAGCCTTGAGCGAGAAATTCGAAGATCTTATCTCACTAAACAAACCCCTATGAAGCACCGACAGTTCCAAGCCTCTGCGTACGAGTGTCGACAAGTGTCGGACATGAACACATTCGGAACGCAGTAGACACGTGTAACACTCTCTCTAATGATGTCTCCTTTTTTTTTTGAAATCTTTCCAATCGACACGCCAATGGCACACAGGGAGAGAGAGAGAGAAACCTGGTGCGATCTGCCTTCGATCTCTGTCTCTCGCCTTCGATCTGCTTTGATCTTAGTGATCGACCTCTTGCCTTCAATCTCGATCTGAACTCATCGATGTCCACGGCTCAGCTCTTGTCGACGTGAATTTGTCAAGATGGAGTCGTAGAGACTCGTCAGCTCCTCGGCCGTCGCCATTGTCTCTGCCTCGTCTGACTTGCTTCCCTCTCTCTTCTCTCTCTCTCTCTCCTTGTCGTGCGTCTCTGTCCTCCCGTTTTCAACCATACAATTAATTTGTTATATATAAAATATATATCTAATAATTAATTTAACATATTTTTTATTATATATTATATTAAATTTAAATTATATATATTAACATATAAAATATATATCTTATTTAAAAAAACTTATTTTTTATTAATTTGTTTTTAATATTATTTATTAATTTTATTATTATTTTGATTGTATAAGAATTAATGATTTTATTTTTATTTAGACATATAATAAATAAATAAAATTATATATATAAACGTGTCCTTAGGGTGTCGTGTCTCTATTTTTTGAAAAATTTGCGTATCCCCGTGTCGTGTCGTGTCCCGTGTCCGTGTCGTGCATCATATCGACCAACCCCCTATTAGTCATAACAACAAAAAAAATAAAATAAATAATATACAATGTTTTATTTTCTTTTTGATTTGCGCCTCCCATGATATAGTTAGAATGATCACTAGAAAATCTATGCTCCATTTTCCTAACCATGCTGAGTTTGAAAAGCTAAGCTACCTAGTAAGCCAATCCTGATTGACAAATCATATCCATAACTAACATAGTACCAATGAACTACAAATTATTATCTAGTGGAAATAAATAAATGAATTGAATTCTGTAAACCACCAATATAAATGCTTACTCAAATATCATCAAACTTGAAATTATGAATTCTACCTCACTCTCTAGAGGCTATGAAGCATGGACACTCCAAAATCGGTGCCGTGGCGGTGTCTGACACGCGGACACGCCAGGGACACGAGGACACATACGGGACACGCCATTTGGCATGTCCCTTTAATTTAATGAATTTTTTTGTAGGGGACATGGCGGGGACACGCATGTCCATATCAGGACATGGCATGGGACACAACGGAGCTGAATTTTAATTTTGTTATATTTATTTGGGGTCCAAGTGTAATATTTAAAAAGTAAAAATAAATAAATAAATTAATTAATTAAAAAAAATCAACTTGCCCTAATATAGTCTATCAGTGTTGCTGAATTGAAGAGTAATCAATCAATTGAAGAGTATCATCAGTGCCCTAAACCAGTCGATCCACCCCCTCCTTGAACCAGTCGATCCAGTCGAAGCTTCATCTAGTCGAAGATCGAAGACCTCTAGTCGAAGCTCCATCCAGTCGAAGATCGAAGCTCCATCAATCGATCGAATAGTCGAAGACCCTAGACGACTTCGAAGGTAAACCTCTCTCTCTCTCTCTCCTTGTCGAAGCTGAACGAAGCTGAAGACTTTTTTTTTTAAATTAGATTTATATATATATACAGACTGTTTTCAACCTTCAAAGACTATTTTTTTTTTTTATAAAAAAAATTATAGGTTTATATATATATATATACAGACTCTTTTCAAATTGAAGAGTGTTTATAGGTTTATATATATATATATATATATAATTTGAACTATAGGAAAAATATATAATACATATTATAAGATGATATATACTTATACATATTAATTAAAAAAAAAAAATAAACACATATAGGTAAAATAAAATAAAATAAATTAATTAGAACACATTATTTAAAAAATATAATAATAAATAAAATAATTAATGTGTATTAAAATAAAAAAATTTATAAAAAAATTAAAAAATTTGCCGTGCCCCCATTTTTTAGAAATTGCCATGTCCCGTGTCTATATGCGTGTCCGTGTCCGTGTCCGTGCCCCTGCTCGTGCTTCATAGTCTACAGGTAACAAACTCCACACATCATGCAGCTCAAAACGAGAGGCTAGTAACTGGCCTCCGGCAGCTAACCATGGGGTGAGGGTAATTGATACCCCTACCACAAGAAACAGCAAAGATGACATCTAACAAGACATTATACCCTGCAAAAAAGGCCAATTAGCAAACAATTAGTTGTGCTAGCAATACTAATGGCAATAGTTACCATTTATATTGTTTTGTTTTATTTTATTTATCTAGTGTGGGAATACCAGTCCTGCACAGTTTATTTATCTAATGTTATGTATTGAAGTTCACAAAAACATATATGTGTGTGTGTGTGTGTGTGTGTGTGTTGAAAAATAGGAATCAAAAGGGGAAAAAAAAGACCTAAAATAATAAAGGGATAGCGTGAATTTCAGTCAATAATACCGGCTTCCATTCAATGCACCACCACAGATTTGCTTAGACTCTCATTCACAAAATCAAACTCTCAACAGCAATCCAGTCCTATGATCCTTTAAACATAAAATAACCTAAGGTTCACCCAATCTTGGTGGCCTATGTAACTTTGTGTAAATAAAGCCTACATCATTTTCAGACCTTGCAATGCTAAACTGACCTAAATTTAGTACTATATCACTTTCATATACTTTTGAACAAGTATTAAGTACTTATGCTGGTGCATTCTACTAATCAAAGACAAATGATATGGCATATCATCAGTGCATAATGGATAACTCGGATATGGGTGTGAGGTGCAGGTATGTGTCTAGGTGTTGGATTAATCTAATTCTCATGTCCAAGGACACCACAACATGACTAGATTTCATATTTCTTAAACATTTGTTTGTTTTGAATTTTTTTAGTATAGAATGGTACTTGCAACCAAAAATTGTTATGAATGAAATGAAGGTCTAATGCATAGTTATACAGTAAACTCAAACCATTTAGACATTCTTGTTTGGCGCATGTCCAACTATACAAGTTGGATGCATTTCTCATACGAAACCCTTACCCTTACACACGTGGCATGTCTATGTATCAAACACATCATATGGCTTGTCAAATTATTAATTATTATTTTTTGCAAGACATGTTGAGAATACTTCACGGACACACGTCCTATGTCTAGACAAGTCTCTTAGAAAACTGATTTGGGGTCAAAGTAAATATATGGAAATCGATGCTTCTCATATCTTTGTGCCCTAACTTAATATTCATATACATACCAAATAAAAATATATATATAATACATAAATAATTTGTATCCCCCATGTTCATATCTTAATTTTTTTGAAAATTCCATGTCCCATGTCTGTACTCATGTCCAGGTCTCTTAGGCTGCCACTATGAAACCTAAAAGGATACGCGAAAGCATTTCACTTTCAAACTCAAAGATGGTAGACGACTATCTAGAATGATTTGCAATAATAATAATAATAATAATAATGTGTCACAAACACAACCGAGATATCAAATCCATTCATACATTAGCACCTTCTTAATAAGCCAACCAAATGGAAAACCACAAATATAAATTTTTTACTTTAAGCTCATATGACGGAAATCCATTTCTTGGACTGTGTTTAGATCATGGATTTGGGTTTTCAAAACCCAACCCAAATCCATGATCCAAACTGACTCTTAGTCGATGCACAATACACTTGGAAAATCATGGGTGCCTAAAATTTTGGATTTTAAGTTTTAGGAGACCTAAACCTTCAAGATTGTCCTAAAATGAAATTTCCTTCGGTATCAACTTTAAGGTGAATATACAATGCACACACCTTTTAGCTATGACATGTATGCGCATATATGCACATTTAAATAAGTAATTTATGTCTCACAAACTATGAATCCTATTATATGGATTACAACCCCCAATGCATTTGTAACCACAATATACATTGATATTCTATATATGTGATTCTCATGTTGGCCTAGTTACAAACCAAATATTCATATTAAGTAATGCTCACTCACTAAAAATAAAATAAAGTCAAGTTTTTATTATGTGGGCCCACATACATGCTTGAATCCAATACCCAAGAATTAGTAAAATTAAACAAATAAACAAAACAAAAAAAGTAAGGTTGTGTTTGGAATGATTTCCAAACTGTAATTCTATCCACACATTCCAACTTCATGTTTGGATATGGCTTTCAAACTGTATTTCCAAAACTCTGCAGAAAACTCTGTCTCGGGCTCAATTTTCAAAAAAAAAAAAAATTCAAATTTGGCCTAACCGGTCATCCCACAGGACATCCCACTTATCATCCGGCTGGTTGACCGAAACAGTGCAATTTTTATTTTATTTTTCTGCAATTGACACATGTTAATTTTTATATATTCAAAAAAAATATTTTTCAAATTTTTATAAAAAAAAAATTGTGAGATTTAATAGAATTTTGAGTTGTGTGTTTGGTTATAATTTGTAAATTTTTGTATAAAATATCATATGTCACATCAAAAATTCCCACTTAATTCAAAACTCTTTCAACAAACAAATTTTTCACGCTCAAATCATAATTTCAAAATTCACAAACTCAAAATACAAAATCTACTCTCAAATCATATTTAGAAAGCTCTACCAAACAGAGCCTAAAGCTTCGCTACATAAACCATCAACTATCCAGCAATGCTCAATTAGTACACATTAATATGTGTTTGGGAGTACAAATCAGACAGAAAAATTTGCAAGAAAAATATTTAGTTCATAGAGAGGAAAACCTGATTAACAGCTTCACCAAAAGCCACAAATGCGAACTCTCCACCCGAAGCAAGTAGAAGGACAACTCTAATCGCAGATATGATTGAAATACCAACAAGTCTACCTACTACAGCAATCTCCCCAGCCAGTTCACCATTCAAAGCCTTGCAATACATATACAATACAACACAGTATTAGAAGCCAAATTCTGAAGCAAAAACATAGCCACAATACTCCAACCCATCACAATCTGAAGAACAAAAGATGAGCACTTCCACACATCACTGAAACTGACTAAGAAAGTCCCCAAGCAAGCCCACACAACCCTAATCACAGCCCCCAAAAAAAACCATCAAATACAACGAAACTAGTCTCATCCCCTCCATCAAATAAGTGCTCCGCCACAACTGCTCGAGCCCGCATTTCGATTCCACCACGACAATCACACACGCCAATGCCCAATTCACTTGCAAACGAACTAATACCAGTAACAAAATCAACACAAAAATCCAGAAAATAATTCGAATTGTAATCAACATCAAGCCTTAGAATCTCAACCAGTTGGGGCACCAAAATCACAAAAGAGGCAAAAACTATAAAGACAACGATTTAAGAGACGACTGTTGTGATGGCGAGGGGGGTGAAGGAATAGAATAGGGATATGATGGCGGAGGCGCATTTGACAGGTCTACCGTACAAGTCGTGGTAAGTGATGTAGGTGATTGTGCTTATTGCGTAGAAAGAGAATAGGGAGACAAAGAGGATGAAGATGAGGGGGAGAGCTAGGGTGTGGAGAGAGTAATCAGAGATTTGGGTTGGGTGGGAGGGGAGCATTCGGATTTGTTTGGGTTGGGATTGAGAGAGAGTAGTTTGGAAAGTAGGGTAGATGATGATAAAGAATGGGGAAGAGGAAGAGGACTGTAAGGGCGAGGAAGTGGCAACAGTGGGCTTTAATGATTCATTTTGATTCAAAGAGGACTCCCTAGAACTTGAGGGTTGGGGATGGGGTTGCCATGGGAGGTGAGCTTTAGAGAGAGAAAGTTGACACAGAGAGAGAGAGAGACCAAGAGGTTGTTTGGATGTTCTAAATAAGTGTACTTTTTGTCTTTTTAAATTAAAAAATTAAGGAAGAAAATATAGATGTTTGCGTTAATTTTTTAAAAATTGTAAAAAAATTAATTTGTAAGAGAAAATTAGAATTGAGAATTGTGTAGCTGTAATTGTTGACTTTTGGTGAATAGTGTTAACTTTTTAACTTTTTGAGTAATTTTTTGACTTTTTATCTTATTCTTAACTTGTCAAACTTGACCCAAGTCTAGTGATCAAATCAAGCGACAAATTTAAAATATTTGGGGCATTTTTTATTTTTGGACTAATTTGGCAACTTAGTTAAACGTCAAAATTAACTTTTAATCTATTTTACCTCTTATATTTTTTACAAATTTTTATTAAAAAAAATTAAAATATTAATTTTTAACCATATTCTCAAAAACACCCCTTTATTTCTTCTATTACGTAAGTTTAAAATTGCATTGTAATATAAAATTTAGGGAATTTAAATGGGCACAAATAAAATTATAAGGATTCGTGTTTTTTCATCCAGCCACATAGGGTTAGTGTAATTTATTTTTATTTTTATTTTTTTTACCTTATACAAAAATTAAAAAATTATTAAAATATCAAGTTCTCAAACGGACACGAAAACTATGTTTAATTGAGAGATTTAAGAAACACACTTTAAAGAAGGCTCTGTTTGATAGAGTTTTTCAAAATTAATTTCACTTCTTGGTTTGAGTATGGTGTTTACTTAGAGTTTTTAAAAATTGATTTCTCACTCACTTTTGAAAACACATCTACCCGATCATCTTTCTGGACATCCGGCCAGTTGACCGGAACAATATTCGGGTTTTTTTTTTTTACACTTGTTATTTTTATATTTTAAATATAAAAATATTTTTAGAATTTTTTTAATTTTTTTATGAGTTTTGAATAGAATTTTGGATTGTGTATTTGGTTATCGTTACAAGTTTTTAAATCAAATATTATATGTTACATCAAAAATTTTAAACTCAATTCAAAACTATTTTTAAAACTCATAACCAAACAAATTTTCTACGCTCAAATCATAATTCCAAAACTCACAAACTCAAAATACAACTCTATTTTCAAATCATAATTCTAAAACTCTACCAAATATTACCTTAAATTTGGGTCTAACTCCAAGAATTCAGCTTATGCTTAAATTGTCCAATTCAAATATAAATTGATCGGTTAAGGTAGAGGTGTAAATCTAACTCAACCCATGGCAGGCCTTGCGGGCTCCCTCCAAAATTCAGGTCGGGCCATAGGCCAGGAAATTAGGTCGAGGCCTAGGGATATTCGAGCCTTGAGCGGGCCGACCTGGGCTTAATCTCAGGCCTAGGCCGAGCTTGGGCGGGCCTGACCATTTTTTTTGTTTTTTCAAATTTTTTCTACCAAAATTTTATTGTTTTCCACTAAAATAGGCACTGGGCCTCGAGAGGGCCAGGCCTCGGGCGCGGCCTTAAGCGGGACTGGACTTCAAAATGATGGTCCAAGCCTAAGCCCAAGTCCACGAGCGTGCTTCGGGCCGCGAGTCATTTTAACACTCGTAAGTTGAAGGAATGTCTATACTCAATTTGAAGTATGGAGAGATCAATTAAATTGAGTCACCAATCTCTCTCTCAACTTGTTTGGACAAGTTCAAGTTTGAGCTCAACTCAAATAACTTTGGGTTATAGTTGCACAAATTCAAATATCAACAAAAAAAAAAAAAATGTTTATCTTAAACAAATATATTTCATCTTTAAACACTGTAATAAAAAAAAATCTCAAAAATTACAAAATACGGAACTCTAACATGAAATTTTGTTTGTGTATCAAAGAGTAAAATTTAATCCAAATATTAATATAATAGTTTGTGAGAACCCTTGCATAAGTATTATCCGAATTAATTCAAATAGACAACTTCCAAACCCCAACCAAATTAAAAATTATATTGTCAAATTCTTTTATAAAAAATATTTGAAAATAAAATTAACTAGACTCATGTTGTTGGAGTTAAAACATTACTAGTGAATATAATATAAATGTCAATAAATAAGGATATTTTTTTGATCAAAAAAATAAAATAAGGATACTTTCAGTAGGTTTTATTTGACATGAACATTCTTCATACTTTTTGTGATTCACTTATGTAAAATTAGTCCGACAAAAACAATTTGAATAAGATGGCTTAAGAAAATCGGGCCATTCCAAGCTTCAATCAAGTTGCCACTCCACGAAACTATAGATAGCCTAAACTTGTAACCCTAATTTGTGGATGCATCAAAGACCATGATCATCAACCTCTGCTATGCTAACTATGCATCAAGAGTGGTGTAGGCATTGTACATCTCTTTGAAATGTTATATGCCCTGTTGTCCTCCTTGTTCTTTTTTTTATGTTTTCATCATTCTTCTCATCTCAAGGTAGTGTGAGATTTGTACATCATATTTTGGAAACTAAAATTATGCTTTGAGAAATCCACACAAAATAAAATATGTTCTACCATTCTAAACATGTTCTACCATTCTAAACTAAAAACTATGATACCACTCAAGGAATGTTTTATATCATCCAACAAACATGGATAGAAGGGAATAGATGTCTTGTCTTAGGGTGTGCTTTTGACAGCATTGTACAAAAGAAGAAAAAAAACAAGAATTCCAAGGTTATCTAAGCTTAGCTCAAAAACTAAAATAATAAATAAATCTAATAAAGAAAAGCCAGCTGTAATTCACCAAATTGATTAAATTGTCACTCTATTTGATATGAAATTTTCAAAAATAATTTTCTGAATTTTCAATTCATATTATTATATATTTTTAAATATTTTAATCAACTTTTTTAGTTTTTAGATTTACTTAACCTTAATTTACTTAAAAGTTCAAAATTTATGGAAAAATCTTTTAAAAAATTATTGAATATAACTAAATACAAAAATATACTAATTTTTTGTATTTTTTTTTATAAAATTCACATACTTTTTAAAGTGCATCCAAATTAGATTATGCATATCTAAAAAAATTTAACATAAATTATTTTTAAAAATCCACTAAAAAAAAATAAAGCACTTCCATACAGTATTCAAAAACAAATCAAAATTTTAATCAGCAGCACATAAAATGAGACAAAGAGGCACTCTCTAGTAGCCACCCTTTAGATCGTTAACCACATCATAAGGTATGGGAGTGACAGTCTCTAGCGTCGCACCTTCAACCATAAAACCCGGTTTGGGTCCCTCTGGCTGCCTCTTGGTGCTGATAACCTCGCCGCTTGCCTTAGCCTCTGCCTTAAGCTTATCATTCTTCTTTTTCCGCAATTTGAAGTCTTCGGTGCACCTTGAAGGCTGAACATGTTCAATGCGCACATGAATCCGCTTGCGGATGATCCTGTTACCCACCTGTATTTATGTACACCATAACTTTCATTTATTTATTTTGATAAATAATACACCATAACTTCCATTATGTTCTATTTCATCAGTTTAAAAACCAAACAAAAAATAAGCACTTCCAAAAAAATTCAATTAGAATAGCAATGACACAAAAATAGAAGGCCAACAATGAGCAATTGAAAAGCCTAAAACTGTGTCATAAAACTGTGTTTGGATATTGGATTTGTGGATGGAAAAAATGGATAGTTTCTGATCCTCCACAAATCCAAGAACCAACCACAGCCTGAAAAGAAGAAGGATCAAACCCATCACACATCCATATCAAACGCAAAATAACCCAGCTAATAAAAAAGCATTTACATACGCCAATTTAAAAACCAAACTCTCCAAATCAACTGACATAAAAATGGCACTTGTTTCTCTGCTATAAATACACAAAACTATGGAAAACCTGTTGATTACTCCACCATTTCGAAACAAGCAAATCATCAAATACCATTCAACTATATCACCATTCAACACATACCCAATTAACTATATCCCCTAAAAACCACATTCTTAATCAAATTACACAAAAACACACTTGTTTTTTTGATAAAAATGCACAATGCTAAGTAAAACAAACCCAGACCACCATTTCAACACAAGCAAATCATCTAACACCTTCAGATCACATACCAACTGACTATATCATCTAAAAACAAAATATTCTTAATCGGATGATACAAAAAACACTTGTTTTTCAAATATAAATCCACAAAACTAAAGAGAACCCAGATGAATATTCTACAATATTAACCCAAGCAAATCATCGAACACCTTCAGATCAGAAAAACACAAAATAACTATTGTTTTTCATATATAAATCCACAAACTAACAAAACCACAGATGATTACTCCTCTGTTTCAACAAAAGCAAATCATCAATCATATCTTCAGAGCAGAAACAGATTTACAACAACGAATATATGAACAAATACTACGCTTATTTATATATATATATATATATACACAGAAATTTATAATAAATAAATAATAAAAAAACCAGATGATACCTCCAACATTTCTACACAAGCAAATCATCGAACACTTCATAGCAGAAACAGATGTTCATATATTCTGATATAAATACACAAAACTCAGAAAAACCCAGATGATACCTCCAACATTTCAACACAAGCAAATCATCAAACACCTTAAGAGCAAACACAGATTTACAAAATCCAATACATAAAAACATATTAAAGCACACACATATATATATATATGTGTGTGTGTGTGTGGGAAGGATTAGAAAAGAGGGTATTTGGACCTGCTTGTTCATTTCAACACCGATGGCGCGCTTGGTAACGTTCCAGACCTGACCAGTGCGGCCATGGTAGAACTTGTGGGGCATGCCCTTGTGAACAGCACCGTTGACCTTGATGTCGACATACTCACCGATGTGGTAAGTGCGAAGATACGTCGATAGATTAATTGTGCCCTTCTTGCGGAACCCTCGAGAGAACAGATCTCTCGTCCGGGACCTCAGTCCATGTCCAGCCGGCATCTTCTCTCTCTCTCTAAATCTCTGTACTCTCTGTGCTCTGAAGAATGATGAGAGAGGAGTTTTTAGGGTTTTGACTGCGAAGCTGTGTAGCTCTACTAATAGGCGAAACCTAGTAATTGGGCCGGGCAGGGTGAATCCTTTGGAGCCGGCCCGTGTTTACACAGAAGTGCATCTATATTTGAGTCGGAGTCCAACTTCTATGTTTTTTCTCCTTTTTTTTCACCTAGGTAGTATGATTAGGTATTAATAGGTGATGTAGCATCATTTTAAAAGTTTGGGTGATGCTCCGGAATTCTAATTAGAACTGTAAAAGGACCGTTCTAATGAGCTGTCAACTAATTAAAAAAAAAAAAAAAACGGTGAAGTAAAAGACAAAAAAGATGGTGGAAAAAGACAAATTAATACTCTATTAGAGCTCTTCTTTAGATGTCTAAATCATTTTTGTAAAAATTTTAGATATTTATAATGTGTATAATAAATATTAATTAATAATAATATCATAACACTAATTGATATATTAATTGATACACGTAGTACTACCATTAATTATTATATTATTATTAAAAAAGGAGTTAAATTTTTAAAAAGAGACACACTGCTTCACCAACTCAGAGTAATGCCAAACTGCCGCGAGGGCGTTGGCCGAGTCCAACTTCTATTTGAACTTGCGTAAAAAACTCTACGGTTGTTTCGGAATTCAATTTGATCTTTGTTTTTTTTTTTTCCGCTTATTTTGACTTAGTAAATATAAATATTTTTTTAATTTTTTAGCAATAGATCAAAAAATATTTTTAAAAAAATTTAACAAAAAAAATTATTAAAAAAATAATAAATAAAATAAATAAAAATGTGATGACTTTTTCGTACACCCTAAGACCGTTTATTTTGAAAAATAGAGGTAGGATTGGGATTGGGATTGGGATTGGGATTGAGATTGGAATTGATGTAAGACCCACTATATGTTGGGTTTGTTTTGAGAGATAGAGAAGGTGAGAGGGGAGATTTGTGCTGTTAGTACGGCCGAGCTAAGATAGGGCGGGTCATGATAGACTTCACGGCGCCGCGCTATTTTCTCTACTGAGACGGTCGGTGGATCTATTTTGCTCGGTCGAAAAGATCGGCTGACCAGGCATGAACTAAGCCTGGCTGAGCTGCGTCTAGTAGACATTTGGCAGGGTACACAGCCAAGTGTCGGGACCGGGCCATGGGTAGCTCGGGCTAAACTACAGACGAAGTGAGGGATGGCACGTCTCTGACCGGTTAGCCGAGATGGGCAGATTCTGGATAACCTCGGATGAAGGTAGAACGGACGGAGGCCGGCATGCCTCGCAACCGGTATGCCACGATAAACCGGTCAATACCAGCCCGGCCATGAGCATCACCCCTCTGTCCCTTTGCCAAGGGGCAAGCCGGTGAAGCATAGCTCGGTTGAATGCATGTGGTAACAGTTCTTCACAAGGGATAGGCCGGTCGTGATACTCCGGTCAGATGTGCCACCTGGGCCAATGGCGTGAGGAAGAGGACATCTGCTCCACGCACGCCTCAATACCGTTGGACAGTTCTGCGTGTACTGATGGAAGGACTAAGCCTTTACATGCGGAAGGTGGTGAGAGGCGAGCACTGCCACCTGTCCAGGGAATGACAGCAGAGGTAGTGCGCGGGCAATCTTGAGGCTGCATGGCCAGCCTAGAAATAAGGAGCAAGACGAACGTTAGAGGTATGCGATCTATTTCTCTAAGAAAACACCTTCTCTCTCTAATCTTCCTCTTGAAGTGGCCTGACTTAATCGTCGGAGGGTCTATCCGGCACACCACCGCCGGACAGCTCACTGTTTCTATGTTGCCAGGTTAGACACCGTCAAGAGAGGCTTAGAGTGCACGGAGTACGGAAAGCAGAGGATATTTCGTTCCCGTACAATTGGCGCCGTCTGTGGAAAAACTTTGGTACTCAACCCTTGTTCTTTGAGCTTCTTCGACCATTTTTCCATGGCCAACAACGACGAAGCCCCACTGTCCGTCGTCGATGGCGTCACACCAGAGTATGTCCGCCTGAGAGAAGGCCCCCCGAATATTCTAGCCATGGCGGGCCTAGAGACTTCTTCGCGAGGTGCACAAGACAAACGGAGGAGGAGTACTGATCGCTCGCAGAGTCCAGAGGGCCGCCGGCGCCGGGGGGAGTCCCATGCGCAGCGCCTGGAGCACAAACTCAAGGACCAAGACGCCCTCATTCGCAAAATGGCGGCGGAGATAGAGCTGCTGAAACGCTAGATTAAAGGGAAGGATGTTGCTAGAGAGGGCAACCTCAGTGAGTGCACCCCGTCCCCTCGTTGTAACAGTCGCCGCCAGGGGAGGACTCACTCTCTCTCCATCACCAGGAACTATGGGGTTGGAGATTCCGACCAAAGAGAAGGCAGATCTCTCTCTCGCGACAGCACTTACCGACCCTCACGCCCGACGCCAACGTCGCGATCCTCTTTCTCCACACGTTCCAGGGACTTGAGGGATGTATTAGAGGAGAGGGCGCGCCGTCGGGAGGCTCAGAGAGTGCCGACATTGCAGAGGTTGAGCGCTCTGATTCGTTGTAGTGAGGAAGTGGCGATGCCAGCCCCCAAAATAATAGCCCCTACGCTGGTGGACAAAGAGCTGGCACGACTTACAGCCACCCTGCTGTCCCCAGAGATTGAGAGTACACCACTCCCCGCCGGATTTCACCAGCCAAAGTTCACTTTGTACGATGGCAAGACGGATCCGTACATGCATGTAAGCCATTACCGGTAAGTAATGGCTGGCCACCGGCGCAACGACGCCTTAATGTGCCTCATATTCCCAGCAAGCCTGGGAGAGCTGGGTTTGAAGTGGTTCGAAAGGCTCCCGTAGGGAAGTATCGAGGGGTGGTAGCAACTAGTGAAGGCCTTCGTCACCAGATTCAAAACCAACACACGAACGCCAAAGGAGGTCGACCATCTCCTGGGCGTCAAGATGGAATCTGGATGTTCGTTGAAGGCGTACAATGCGAAGTACTGGAAAACTTACAATGAGATCCTCAACTGCCCCACCAATCTGGCGATCGCTCAATACAAACGAGGTCTCCTAGTCGGACATAGGCTGCGAGATTCACTCACGATGTATCAACCCACAACCATGGAGTCATTGATACAGCAGATCAATAAGCACATTCGCGTGGAGGACGATGCCGCCTCCGCGACCGAGAAGGCTAATCCGGTCACGACGGACAGAAGGGTGGCGGGAAAAGTTCACTCAGTTGGGCAGGAGGATAACAACCCAAACAACCGGTCAAAAGATCAGCGCCATGGTTCGAACCGTGATGATAGAAACAAGGGCCGCCGAAACGACCGGGCTGACACTCCCCGCGATGCAGCGGAGGATGCCAAGAGAAAATTGAAGCCACGGACTGGAATCACCACGGTCTTTAAAATCCCCATCTACCGCATTTTGAGCAAGATTCGAGGTGAACCCTTCGTCCGTTGGCCGACCAAGTTGGGAAGTGCGCAGAGAGGCTTCAATTCAAAATATCGTTGCACCTTCCATGAAGAACGGGGCCACCGAACGGAGGACTGTTTGCCGCTCAAACAACACTTTGAGGAGTTGGTGGCGGCTGGACATCTTGTCCAATACATAGATGTGGGAATGAAGGTCGTACCGTCAGGGCAAGCTGAGCCAAACGGCCTAGCTGCCCTGGATGTGGCCCCGCAAGGTGTAATCAACGTTATCCATGGCATCATTGAACCAGCCAGGGTCTGCGAGCTGAGAGGGATGATCAAGAAGGCTGAGCACATGAGAGAAGTGCTCTCCGTTCAACCCACCGTGAAGAAGGGGAAGACCGAGGAGAAAGACATCATTTCCTTCTCGAGCAAGGATTTAGAAAGGATCCAGATGCCCCACAATGATGCCTTAGTGGTAACTCTTCGCGTCAAAGGCTTTGACATCAAAAGAATTTTGATCGACCAGGGGAGTTCGGTCGAAATTATGTATTATGATGCTTTCAAGCAAATGAAGCTGGAGGACAAAGACTTAGCCCCCGCGACGTCCCCCCTGGTTGGTTTCAACTCTCAACCAGAGTGGCCGATCGAAAAGATCATTTTGCCAGTCAGAGCGGGTTCTGTAGTAAAGCAGGTGGAATTCTGGGTGCTGAAAGTTTCATCCATATACAACTTAATTTTGGGAAGGGGGTGGTTGCACGCCATACAAGCAGTTGCGTCTACCTTCCATCAAGTTATGCGCTTTCCGGCGCCCACTGGGCAAATCGCAGAGGTTTGGGGAGACCAGGTGATGGCAAAACAATGATTCGTTGTAGTAAATGGCAGCCGAGCATCCAAAGGGTTTGTCCAGATGATCGAGGGGCCCAAAAGGAAGGAGGTCCTTGAAGACATAGGAAGGAAGGCCGAGGAAAAATTGGTAGAGGATTTGGTTGAAGTGCGCATCGACGAGGACGACCCGACTAAGTTCTTCTTCTTGGGATCATCTTTGTCGAGCACCGAGCGGTTAGATTACGTCAAATTCTTGACTTCTAATTTGGAGGCCTTTGCGTGGACGCCTTACGATATGCCTGGCGTTGACCCAAGCTTCATCTGCCATCAATTGAATGTCTTCCCTGATGCACGGCCCGTAATCCAAAGAACGCGCCGCTCAGCCTTGCACCATGCTGAGGTGGTAGCGAAAGAAATGAAGAACCTGTTGGAAGCTGGGGCAATAGAAGAAATGCAATATCCTCAATGGATATCCAACACGGTGGTGGTTCCAAAGAAGAACGGCAAGTGGCGGGTCTGCGTTGACTACAAGACTGTCAATCGTGCTTGCCCAAAGGACAACTTTCCCCTCCCTCGAATTGACCAGCTGGTGGACTTAACCGCTGGCCATCAGAGGTTTAGTTTCCTGGACGCATATCGCGGCTATCACCAAATAGCTATGTATAGACCGGACCGAGAGATCACATCGTTCACCACTCCCAGGGGCTTATTCTGTTACAAAGTCATGCCGTTCGGACTGAAGAACACCGGGGCGACTTTTCAGAGGATGGTAACAAAGATGTTCACTCCTCTTCTGGGCCGAACAATGGAGGCCTATATCAACGACATGGTGGTGAAGAGTAAGGAGAAGTCTCAACACCTCGCCGACCTAGCAGAAATGTTTGCCATCCTAAAGCATCACAAACTTCGGCTGAACGCCTCCAAATGCGCCTTCGGAGTTGGCACGAGGAAGTTCTTGGGCTATCTGGTTACAAATCGGGGAATTGAGGCCGACCCATCACAGATCAAGGCAATACAAGAGCTGAAGCGTCCTAACTCCACGAAAGACGTGCAACATCTTGCCGGGATGGCAGCCGCGTTGAACAGATTTATCAGCCGGTCTTCGGATCGTTGCAGGCCCTTCTTTAAAACTCTGAAGTCCAAGTTCTTCTGGGATGATAAGTGCGACCGCGCACTAGCAGACCTGAAAGCGTATCTCTCCTCAGCCCCTATTTTGGTCACACCTCAGCCGGGCGAAGAGTTGTGCCTCTACTTGGCTGTCTCACAACACGCGGTCAGCGCGGTATTGGTTCGTGCTGAAGGCATCCAGCACCTACCAATCATCTATGTAAGCAAGACTCTGCTCCCAGCCGAAACGAGATATCTTCCTTTGGAAAAACTGGCGCTAGCCCTAATGATGGCATCGAGAAAGCTGGCACACTATTTTCATGCCCATACAATAGTTGTGTTAACCGAGTTTCTGCTTAAGGTGCTCTTCGAAAGGACAGACTTCACTAGGAGAATTTTGAAATGGGCCGTGGAATTAGGGCAATATGACATCCAGTTTCGACCGCGCACCGCAATCAAGGCTCAAACACTTGCTGATTTTGTGGCGGAATTTGCCCATGGGGAGCATCCAGTCTGCCCGATTGATTTGGTTGGTGCGGATTTAGCACAACCCATGGTTCTGGCAACAAAAACGAGTGTTGGCTCGCAAGTAGGAAAAGGGCAAAGCACGACCGGACTAACAAAGTCTGCCGAAGATGAGCCCAACCAAGACAAGAAAAAAGACCAGAACGGGTCGACCAGAGACTTGGAACTGAGAACCTCCCAAAACCCGTCTGATTGTTGGAAGCTGTTTATTGGGAAGATGTGGAAGCTCTTCGTCGATGGGGCATCCAACAGGCATGGGGCCGGGCTTGGCATCGTGCTGACCTCACCGGACGGGCTGGTCATCGAGCAGGCAATTACACTCGGTTTCCCAGCATCCGACAACGAAGCTAAGTATGAGGCCCTACTTGCCGGACTAAGAAGCGCGTTGAGAATGAAAGCCACAGCCCTTATGGTCTTCAGCGACTCCAAGCTGGTGGTCAATCAAGTCTCAGGGGAGTATGAGGGCAGGGATGAAAGAATGTCTAAGTATCAGGCGCTGGTGCGTGCAGAAATCAGGAAGTTCGATGCCATAAGAGTAGAACAGATCAACCACGAAGGAAACAACACGAATGATGAATTAGCTGGACTCGCTTCCACTCAGACAGCTTTTCCCAACCCCTTAATGATAGAATTTTTACCCTGGCCAAGCATTGAGGAACCAGAATCAGCCGAGGTACTCTGCACCGACTTGGGTCTTTCCTGGATGGATCCCATCATCGCCTTCCTGAGAGATAGAGTTCTGCCGGAAGAAAAGAAGATGGCCAACAAGGTCCGAGCCAAGTCAGAGCGGTTTTGGCTCTCTCCTTTCAAGGCCTTGTATAAGAAGTTTTACACTGGGCCGTACCTAAAGTGCGTTCACCCTGCTAAGGTGGAAGCCTTCCTCTACGAGATCCATGAAGGCATTTGCGGCAGCCATACCGGGGGCAGATCTTTGGCCTACCGAGCGATTTCTCAGGGCTACTAGTGGCCATGCATGCAGGCAGACTCGCAGAAGTACGTTCGCTGGTGTGAAAAATGTCAGAAGTTCGCTCATCAGATCCATCAGCCAGCAAGAGAACTGCTCCCCCTTACAAGTCCTTGGTCGTTCGCACTCTGGGGATTAGACATAGTGGGGCCACTCCTAGCAGCACCGGGCAATCACAAGTTCTTCATCGCTGCAACTGACTACTTCACCAAGTGGGTCGAGGCCGAGCCACTAGCGACCATTAAGGAAAAGGATGTGAAGAAGTTTGTTTAGCAAAATGTAGTCACTCGCTTCGGTATACCCAAGGCCCTCATCTCGGATAATGGCGCTCAATTCGACGGGAAACTCTTTCGCGTATTTTGCGAAGAGTTGAAGATTGAGTTCTACAATTCAACGCCGGCCTATCCTCAGTCAAATGGTCAAGCAGAGGCCTCAAACAAGACCATCCTGGACGGGTTGAAGAAGCGGCTTGAGAAGGCCAAGGGGAAGTGGGCCGAAGAACTCCCTAATGTGCTTTGGGCATACCGCACCACGCCAAGGAGGTCGACCGGAGAGGCACCATTTGCCTTGGCCTATGGCATGGAGGCCGTCATCCAGCTGGAAATTGGCATGCCAACCATCCGGTCTGAGAATTTCGAGCCAGATCTGAACAACGAAGCAATGGCATTGGAGCTAGACCTAGCCGAGGAAAGAAGGGAGCGGGCTTTAATCCACATAGCGGCTTATCAGCAAGAGCTATCCAAAAAATACAACATGGCAGTGCACCCCAGGCTATTCAAGATTGGGGACTGGGTCTTAAGAAAGGTGCTTGGCAATACGGTGGTCCCTGGCGAAGAAAAACTCGGTGGAAATTGGGAAGGACCATACAAGGTGATTGGCCTTACTGGTAAAGGAGCGTACCATCTGGAAGATTTAGATGGTAAGGCTGTCCCCAGACCATGGAATGCGGCCAACCTTAAGGTCTTTTACTTTTAAGATGTAATTTGCTTGTGTTGTTTAGCTTTTCTAAACCTATGGCCTTTTGGCACTTGATGTAAAAGATAGCAATGCTTTTGTAATGAAAAATAGCCCTCTTGTTATTTGGCATTACATCTTTGTACAATGACATCGCAAAAACACAAGGCAATTATGGATGCCAGGGGCGAAGAGACCGACCTGAATGGGACCGGATTGATTTCCTCTCGCCGGAATGGTATGGACCAATTCGCATTAGGGCCGAGCTAGTTTTGCTCGCCCGGTTGAAACGTTGGCGTCATGACCAACTTAACTGAAACATTGGTGTTTTGCCCAATGTTCGAGCCAAGCTGATTTTGCTCGGCCCAGTTGGCATATTGGTGTCTTGTCCAATGTGGAAAACGAGCGGAGTTTGCTCGGCAGAATTCGCAATGTTGTTTTGTCCAACCGGTAAGAGGCCGAGCTGACTTTGCTCGGCAGAAAAGAAATATTTGCGGTTTGACCAACTCAAAAAGGCGAGCTGGTTTTTCTCGGTCGCATTGAAGTGTTGGAATTTCGTGAAGCTTGTAAACCAGTCTCGGCCGAGCTGATTTTGCTCGGCCCTATAAAAATGTCTGATTTTAGGCGCACCCTGTGCGATCGCAGTTTGCTCAATTTAGAGCCAAGCATACTTTGCTCGGCCAAATTAACATGTCAATTCATCCTAAATTTTAAGGAGCCGGGCTGCTAGCTCTGATTAGAAAACGTTTAAGTTGATTTTAGTTCGGCAGATTGTACGGCTTAGCCGACTTGGCAGTTGTGACTTGTCAACGTCAGAATCAAGAAATTTTGCACGTTTCAACCGAACAGAAATAACAGATGAGCGAGCAAAAAGTCAAAAATTTTCATTGATAAAGGAAATGTTAGTACAAGATGGGAGACGTAGCCCGTTACATCCAAAAAAAAAAGAAAAAAAAGATCCTCAGTCCAGGTTGACAGTTTGTTCGGCTGCCTCCACCGTCTGCTCGGCGATCTCAATGGTCTACTCGGGCAAGTTTTCCTCGGCGTCATCGTCAGCTCCCTCCTCCACAGCAACATCCCGATCAGCCACTTCATCTTCCGCATCTCCTGATGCTTCTTGAGAAGTTTGCTCGGCTTGTTACGCGGCGGCGGCTTCCTCCTCGGCCTCCTTCCTTACCTCCGCAATGAGCCGATTTTGAGCGGCGTTGGCGTACGCCTGCATATAGACCGGGATATACACTGTGGGGAGATTCAGGAACATATCAGCGTCCTGACCAAGGCCAACTTTCTCCACGGCTGCTTTCCAACCGCACTGGAAAAAGATGTCCTTGGTCGCCTCAACTGACGCTCATAAGTCTTCTTCCCCTGCGCATATCCGCAGTCCTCTGCCTCGTCAACCGCCTTGTCCCTCTCCACCTTGTGGGCATCGCACAGTTTCCTCAGCTCGATAAGGTACCGAGCCTTGGTCGACTTCACAGCCCGTTGTT